CTGGACGGAGACACGGCCCAACGCGCAGCAATCTTCATGAGGTTGGACTGTGCGGGGGCGTGTTGTTTGCACCGTGTCGGCGGAACACGCCTCTGCGAGGACAGGCTACGCCTTTTTACCCTTGATGTTTCGAATGACCGACCTATCGGGGAGATACCGCTGCCCGGTTTTCTTGTCGCCAATGGCGACAGCTTCCTTAACTATTGGAGGCCCCAAAGATACCAAACGACTGACCTCCCACTTGGGATGGAAACGATCCGGATATTCGCCTATACCCCAACATGACGGAGTTGCAGAGGTTGCTTGCTACCACCAGAACTTTCAAAACACAGCGTGGGTACTTTATCTACCGTTATGCCAAAGACGACCTCAAGATCATCATCAACGGACTAACGCGGGACCGGCTGTTTGCCGAGGGCGGCGGGGTCAGGTCGCGATGAAACGCGTCCAGACGGCTTCCGCCGGGTACCAAATCAGCAGGATGCCGATGGTTTTTGAGAAGCTTGTCTATTCTGGAGACACCGCTGGTGTCTCCTGAATCGACAAGCGCTCTTCGGAGACCAGGCGCGAACGAGATGAATTCCTGGTCAACTATATCGCGCGCCTCGTTCTCTTTCGAGAACCCGACAAGCGCGTGGTTCTGTCGATGGACTTGAAAGGGCGCGTGCTTCTGAAAGAATGTTTGGGAAACGGTTGAGCACTGCACAGAGGAATCGTGCGATTTTGATTAGGTGCGCGAAAAACTTCGGACACTTGAACGACCGCTACCTTCTGGCAAAGGCGGCCGCCGTATCCATGGCATGAATTTCGCGCGCGTTGTCGGAGATCAAGGATCGGATGACGGATTCGAGGACCAGGGGGCGGATCGCGACGATTCCTATTGAGCGTTCACGCGACAGTCTTTGTTGACCTCGCCCAGGGCCTATGGGGAGGAGGAGATCGCGAACGAGGCCATCGGGGGCACCGGCGATGGCGAGGTATTCTTCGTAGCTGAAGACTTGCCCGACGATGTGGTTCTGGAAGAAGATGAGGCCATCGCCATCTGTGCTAACCACAGTCAGGCACAGCAGTACTTGCGCGCGGGGTCCTGGGCGAGGCTTTTTTTTGTTCAACAGCAACCCCCGAATGGAATGTCCAAAGGTGCCCGAAAAAAAAGAGGGGGCAACGTGGGGGGAAACGCCGGGGACATGCCCGACCGAAGCGGTGGACCAACAGTAAATTAATGAGCCGCTCGAAGTGCGCCCGGCGTGGGGGGATGGGGCACTGGGCTCGAGATTGTGCGAGCGAGCCAAACGAGCGAGGGCGCGAGCGACATGCAGGCTTCGGCAGCATCCAAGCAGTTCTCCTCGAAACAGACGATGCTCGGCGTGGCGTTTGCCAGCGGGGGCCTGCGACCCATCCCGGAGTCATTTTTTGTGGGCCCTCCTATTTTGTCTGCTGCCGGCGCTGGAGGTCAGGTTTTCATTGGTTACAAGTTCGGATGGGTTCCGGTTTGGTGGGTGGTGGATCTCAGCGCGGGGCGCGTGGCAGATTAATTCGAGCAACCTGGTAAAATATCTTGGGGGCACCTGCGGTCGGCGGCCCACGCAGAAACCTATTCGGGAAATTGATGCCATGGGTGTCGGAGGATCTACTAAGTTTCTCCCCAGCTGGACATTGCCTATTGCCGAAGCAAAGAACTGCGGTACTCTTGCGGTGCATTTGATTGCCTGGGATGCGCCCTTGCTGCTCCCAGTGGAGATGCTCGGACAGTTTGGCGTGGTTCTTGATTTGCCAGGTTGCGCCGTGTCGAGAGCGCGCGAGGCGGGGGCGGGCGAACGCACTGCGATGGGCGCGTAGGGTTTACCCGAGGACGGTTGGCAGAGGAGGGCGGACCGCAGAGCTGTCTCTTCCAATGCTCAGGGGCGCTGCCGCGTTGCGGAGGCTGAGGGCGCCGTATTCGACGCGAATCCGCAGGCGCCCTCGGCTCGAACCTGTCTTTCTCAGCCAACTGTCTGCTCTCCCGACGCCGCCGTGCAATGTTGGGCCGCGAGGGGCGCGTCCTCGCCGAGAAGGGGCCGCGGCCGGAACCTCCGACGCGGCGCAATCAGCCCGCGATGGCCCCAGAGAAGCGGGCGTGGAAATTGCGGCAGTTTCGTCTGGAGTTGTTCTGCATTCTGGATCGCGCGGCTACGCGACGTCGCTCGGGGGCCCGAATCGGGGCCGACGCCCGCGAGAACCTGCTCGGGGGCGCCGGGGCCTGGATCGGAAGGCGGCGTCGTCCGCGCGTCGCCCTCGGTGCCCGCGACTTTTCCCCCGAGTTCTGAAGTTTTCTAGGGCGGGGCGTCTCGCCGCATCTCTTGCGCCCGCTGCGCGGTGCATGCGTCGGCAGACGTCAGCCCAGAGATGCACTTTTTCAAAAGCATTTGCGCGCCCCGGATGGATCGCCGCCGCCGCGCAGGCTATCCCGAGATGCATGTCCGCAAGCAGTGGTGCCGGACCGAACGCAGCGTCCACGTCGAGGCGCTCTGCGTCTACGCTGCGACGATGAGGGGGATCTGGGACAAGGCGCAGGCGAAAGAGCAAATCTTCGGGTGGCGCAGGGTCTGGAATCGCACTGTCAGGGTGCACCTCGCGGCGAGGGCCATCCCGACGGCGTTTCCGAGTGTGCGCGCATATTCAGATGAAGTTTTCGAGGAGTCCGGCTTCCCGGTTTCCGGGGTCAAGCTGATTCCCATGGGCGAGAGGTGTGTTCTTCAGTGGGCCGAGAAGTTCAGTGCGGCAGATCCGTTTTTGGAGTGCCTTGGCAAAACGTACGACGGCCGTAGAACCGAACCACAGAGTTTCATACATCAGATGGGGCAGGCTACGGACGCAGCGAAGCTGGATGAACTCATTGTCAACGTGGGCCTCGAGTCAGACAATCCTCTCAATGATCTCTCTTAGCGATGCTCTCGAGTCCTACCTGTTCGTGAAACTGTGCCAGCTGCGCGTCGCTGAAGCTCAGGTAGTGCGTGGAATGGCGGCGGTATCTCATGAGGGGGGAATTGCGTCTTCTGAGGCGAGGCGGCGTTTTGGCTGCAAGACAGGAAGGAGCTGCGGTTGCTGAGCCCCCTTCAGCCTCTCCTCCTCCTGCGTCTCTCTCTGCGCTCCCCTATGCGCCGCCATATCGGGTCACAAGGCCCCTTGGGCTATCATGGCGCGCCAGTGACCGACGCGCCCGCGCCTCCGCACAAAGGAATGAGAACGGGCTCTCTTCTAGCACGGGCCCCCTTATTTGTACCTCGTGTCTCTCTGTATCCATGCAGTCACACCCATGCAATCCACAGGGGAGGTCCAGGGTGGGCCTGAAGCCCACGGCGCCAACCACCATAATCAGAATCGCGGTGTGTTTTGCAACGCAGTTCGGTTTGCCTTGTTTTTTGCGTTGCAGCTTTGCCGTTCTAGCTTCAGCATTAAATTCCGCTTGCGAGGCGAGAGCAGTTTTGGGATGTCCAGGGAGGTTTTGAAGCCCATGTCGCCAACGACCATGATCTAATTTCCTTGCGTTGCAGTTTTTTGCCTTGCAGCTCTGCCAGTCGAGAAAAGGGGATGCAGGATAACACCCAGAAAACAATGCACACCTATCGCTTCGCGCGGCTCAGAATATCCATATATGGATTTTCAAACCATCCACTGGTTGGGGCTTCTGTTTGGTGTAAAAATTTTGGCATCCCTTTGGCTCCTCTGGGGCCTCGTAGACGAAATGTGAACCGACAGCGTTGGAATGGCAATCTTTTCAAACATGATTTTCATGGTTTGGAGGATGTCGGCCTTTTCGGAAGGCCTCTTGGCCTTCTCCTTACCGTCTTGGAAGCCTCTTCTGGGCTTGGGGTCTTCTTAGGAGCCTCTGAAGCGACGTGGAAACATCTTGGCGATTTTAGGCAGTCCTGGAAGCCTTGGATCGCCCTTCGGAATCCCAGGAGGGCGCCAGAGCACCCAGGACACCTCGTGACAGGGCGATTCGTGCGACTGCTCTTGGCGAGAGGAGGGGGGGCATACAACATATTTTTGGAATTTGTAGCACGCAGCATTTGATATTTTACCCGTGGGGGGGCGGGGTCGGCGGCGAGCGAGGGGAGGGGCCATTTTGCGTTCGAGTGGCGAGGTTTTCTGATTTTTTCGTGGGTTCCCAACGGTGCTCCAGCCTCGGGATGCTTTCCAGCAGCTGCGCCCCTCCAGGAGCGTTCCGGGGGTGCCCGCATCGTCCCGAACGGCCGCCAAAGACCCGAGGTATGAGCCAGAAGTTGGATTCGGCGGTGCGCCAGGCGGGGGGTGAAAAGGAGGAGGCCTCTTCAGAAAGCGGCGGAGCTTTTCAGAAGCCTTCCAGCCTGCCGAGAAGTTGTGTGTGTGTGTGTGTGTGTGTGTCTTCGGGATAGGCTTAGGCAACTGCTCAGAAGGCCGGGGGTCTTCCGAGCTTTCTGAGGAGGCCCGCCCCTTCTCACCTCCCGCGGACGCGCCGCCGAGTATCTTGAATGTCAACTTTCGGAGCGCCCGCGCCGACCTGCATGGTCTGATCGGGTTCCTCCTTTGTTATTTGTTTCTCGTCTCTTGCTCTTCCGCTTAGTGCCTGTATTAGCTTCCAGAGCAGCCCACCGCTCGCTCTCACCCGCGCCTGACCGTCTCGCACCCCCTGGCGCCTGTGGACTTAAATATCACCTTCGGGTATATGAAGCCATCTTGGAGTTTTCGCCTGAGTGATCTCTTTGCCACCTCGGGCCCCCGCCCGCTCCAGACCCAGGGTCAAGTTTTCAGAAGAAAGCCACAAACGCGATCGCTGATTCACACCCGCCCTCCATTAGGGTCAGCATAGGCAACGGCCGCCATACGATGGACTGCCTTCGATGTCCGATATGGCCGCCAGGCGTGCGCCGCCCGTGCCACGTTCGCCACGCGCACCAGGTCCGCCAGGTGCGCCAGGCACGACAGGTGCACCATGTGCGCCAGGCGCGCCAGGTGCCCGAGGTGCTCGAGGTGTGCTACGCGCGGCCAGGCGAGCCAGGCGCGAAAGGTGCGCAGGCGCAGTACGTGCGCCAGGCGCAATAGGTGCGCCTGGTGCGCCAGGTGCGCCGCGTGCGCAAAACGTGCTGCGTGTCCCAGGTGCGCAATGCAAGCCACGCGTGCGCCAGGTCTGCCAGGGCACGCGACAGCACACACTGGGCAACATGCCAGCACCGCCCCAACATCCCTGACGAAGGCCAGTGCAGAGTGACGGCGGGGTGGTCAGCATGATGTATGGCGTTTGATCTCGCAGCCAGGTGGCGTTGCGTTTGACAAGCTCGATGGGCCCGCGCACACACCAGGTAATTGAAACCCTCGCCATCCTCGTCAAGACCAATACAAACAACGATCGTTGCGAAACTTTCGCAGGGATGGAGGGGGGGCTTTGGGGTTCCGTCGTCGGTGGCCGTTCGAGTGGCCTCATATTCCTCCTATTCCTCCTCCTCCTCCTCTCACTCATCCCTGCTGCCTCCTCCCTTGTCCCTCTTCCTCCAGGCACTCCAAGATTCAGCTCAGCACTCTGTCGTCCTTGGGCCACGTTTGCTGGGTCGTCGATTGCTCGGACGACTCTTTTGCTTGCTTCAGCCAGAAGTGCAAATGCTGGGGGAGGGAGTGTCAGTCCACGGGGGGATGTGGGCAGTGGTGGTGGTGGGAGCGGCGGCCCCCAAGCCACCTGCGCCCAGAGGGCTGGTGGGAGTTGTGGGGTGGGGCCGCTCTTTCGCCCCGGCTGCGACCAGGTGGTCGCCAGATCTCGGGGCCCTGAGCCTTCTGTTCACCGTTTTTGGCCTCCTGGGGCTCTCCACGGGCCCCAGGATTGTCAGAACACAGCTCAGGATGAGGATGTCCAGGACCCGCTTCCCTCAGGACCCGTTGTCCCCGTGCTAGGGATCACCAAGCTTCTTGCCAGGGGATCCCCACGTCCGGTGTCTCTGCGGCGAAAGGGGCCGGCGGTCGGAGCGCCTGCGCCCGCCAGGGCAAGGGCAAGGACAAGGGCGGCAAGTCCAAGGGCATGGTCATGATGCCGCCTTTCATGAAGGGCGGCTTTGGCGGCTGGGGCGGCGGCAAAGGCGGGCGGGTGGAAGCCGTTCGTTCCGCCCGCCGCCCATTTTTTCCTTGGGGTGCGCGCAGATCAGGAGAGGCAAATGGACACATCGGCAACACCCCAACATACTTATACTATATGTGCGTCGCCCCCCCAGGGGCGACGCGCGCACCGAGAAATCTTATAGTATATGCGTCGTGGCGGGCGCTTTCTGGCCACACCGCTCGGGAAACGATATACTACAATATGGGTATACTATATGTTCGGGTCGGACGCGTGCCTCCAAGGAGGACATATATTATTAGTATGTCCATGTGCGTCCCAACACAGGCACAAGTGAACGCCGATGTCCAAGAAGATGTGGTGGACGGGACAGTCTGGGAAACTGAAGGGAAGACGAGCATTCAGAAAACATGGAAACATGTGGGGAATTCTGGGCTGCGTCTATTCCTGTGTATCTCCCTGGGGCCCCCTCAACAAGAGAGGGCAGTGCAGGGCGAGGTGGGCGTTCTTCTGCGAGGGCCCGCCTTTAAGAAGTCGTGGGGCGCTTGGCTTTCAAGGAGGTGATCCCTTCTGAGAGGCCTGCCGCGATGCCGCCCCCCGCCCCCCTCGCTCTGGGCCTTCTCTGATCGCCGCCAACGGCCAGCGCTTCCCCAGGTTTTGAAGGGGCCCCGTGGGACCTCTCGGGGCCCCTCCCTTGGTGCCTCTCCGAAGCGGGGGGCTCTCCAAGAGGCGGTGGGGCGGTCTGTCCTCCCCGTCCTCCGGTCCTCCTCCGTCTCCTGCTGCTGCTGCGGCTCCTCCTCATCCATGAGGTACTGGCGCTTCTCCTCCTCCCTCCTCTTGCTGCCCCCCTTCACCTCCCTCCTCCTGCCTTCCTTCTTCCTCCTCCTCCTCCTCCTCCTCCTCTTCCTTCCTTCCCTACTTCCTTCCTTTCTCATCCTCCTCTTTCATCTGGAGATGGCCGAGTGTGCGCGATGTCCCTCGAGGTCGCCGAGCGGGGGAACGGCAGGTGTTCCACGGGCGTCGGGCGGCCTGGGCCCCGAGGGGAGGCTCCGGGGGCCTCTGCCGTCAAGAGCGACCCAGGACGAAATCTGCGCCCCAGGGTCTGTTGCTGGGCAAGCTGTCCACCACCACTACCAGAGGTAGGACGGGGTAGATGGGAGGACGGGGAGTTCCTCCTCCTCCTGCTCCTGCTCCTCCTTCTCCTCCTGCTCCTCCTCCTCCATTTGTTACCTGTGGTAGAAGTGGTGGAAACTCGTCTCGTCTTCGGGCCGTCTTGGAGATCTCGGGTGCCCCTGTTGGAGGCCCTGGGCCACATTGTGGTGCAACGGGGGTGTTTGGGCCGATTTGGACGCCCTCAAGACCGAACAGTCGAACATGCGAAATCATACGAAACACTTGAAACACTTTGTTTGACATGATGCTGGCCCGCTGGGCCGGCCCCGAGGTCTTCAAAAACAGCCCCAAAGACACTCCTGCCCCCAGAGAGCTCAAATGCTGGCCCCTGCGACCCTTTTTGGGTAAATCACGTATGTTGGGAAGTCAGAACTCCCGAGAGCCTTCCTTGCTGCAGGCCTCGTGGAGCGCCCAGAAACATCCAGAAATCTTTTTAGCTGGTCCTGTGTCCTGCGCGCAGCAGCTGCAAGACGCAAGGCTCAGCGTGGAGGATTCGGCGGGCCCGAGGGCACCCCCGTTCGGTGCTCGTGGCACCGTGGTCCGAGGTGCGCATGGACCGTCATTCGACCGCGCTGCCCGCCTCCACGCTCCCTCTCGCCCCCCCCCCCCTCCCCCTCCCTCCCTCCCTCCCTCCACATCGGATGCGTTCTGCGCAATTTTACCTTTTTTGGCCAGCTGCTCCAGGGGCGCTCCGGTGCGGTTGTCGGGTCGGGCTAACCGGCCAACATGCGCGCGAGTTGCGCCCATGCAGTAGGCAGGATGGAAGCCGGGCGGAAGACGGCCGCAAGGAGCGGGAAGGAGCGGGCACGTTGCACGCGAAGTCCTGCCTCGCCACGCCCCTGTTGCTCTGCAAGCGGGCGGGCGGATGATTTTTCGGGGGGTGCCCTCCTCTTCGCGCTTCTTCCTTGGAGTGGCCTGCGGCCAGTGCCGCCGGTCTGGGGCGCTCCCGGTGCTGTGGAAAACTTCGGCGACGAAGACGATGGACGACGAATGTCGACGGCACTTCGGCGACCACGGGCGAGGACCGACGGCAGCGACGAAGCCCTCGCCCTTCGTTGTGCTTGCTGGCCAGGCTCGGTGGGGTCGGGCCGAGGCCGCGGCCCTCTCGGGCGCCCATCGGAGGGCACCAACTATACACCAACACCGATCCTGGCCCAGGATCACCCTGGGCCCAGGATCGGTGTGTATGCCTTCTTGCGCAAGGCAGGAGGGCGCATTCACCGATCCTGGGTCCAGGGTGATCCTGGCCAGGATCGGTGTTGGTGGATAGTTGGTGCCTTCTAGCCAGGGCCAGGCGCGGCTCGGAGAGGCGTCGGGGCGGTGCCCGGGAGTGAGGCGCGGGTGCTCACGGCGTCGCGTCGAGCGGGCCAGCAGGACTTGGCGGCGCGCGCGAGGGGGCAGGGGGGGAGGGGGGAGGGGCAAGCTGGGTGCGCTCGCGTCATATCTGACGTCCTACCCCTCCCTCCCATCCCTTACCATGGCGCTGATTTTCTCTATCCGCGGACGCGTGTCGTAGCGGACCTGTGGCTCCGCGCGCGCGTGCGTAGTGGGTGGTGGTGCGAGGGGGGAGGGCCCCTGAGAAGCAGGGGGTGCTGCTAAGAGGCCTGCCCCCCTCCCCCTGCCCTCCCCTGCGCGCAGCGAGAGGAGGAGGACGAGGACCAGCACGGGTCCGCAATCGGGCTGCAGAACAAGCGGCCTCATTGGGAACAGAAGCCCAGAGCAGGGCTGAGCGACAAAGGGAGGGGGCCCATTTCTTGGCCCAAACAAGGAGACGGTAAGAACCCGCGGACCGTTGCAGGCCCATACTGGCTCGGGGTTCTCACGATGGGAGGGGTGAGGGGAGAAGGGGGAAGAAGAACGGCTAGAAGGAGGATGAGGGTGAGAGCAGGTGATGATGGCACCCAGACGCCAGACATCGATTTTCAGTGGTTTGCGATGGGAGTTGGAGTAGCACACTTCTTTCTTCTGCTGCGTGTACGGACAATCGAAAGGGATGGTCCAATGAAGAAAACATGAGAACTTTCCGACGCAGGTTCTTACAGTGTTCTTCTCCACATTTCTTATGTTGTCCGCTCCTAGCTCTACCTCAGGCTTCGGCGGCGGCTGGGGCGGCGGCAAAGGCGGCGGCAAGGGCTGGGGAGCCGGCGGCGGTGGGTTCAAAGTGAGAGACGAGAACGCGCCGTCCACAGTTTGGCTTGGCAATCTCCCAGAGGGCATTTCGCAAGAAGAGGTCAAGACGAATTTCGAGGCAGCGGGAACCGTCAAGAAGATTCAGCTTATCAAGCAGGGCAAGGAGGGGTTCGCATGGTTCTCGACTCCCGAAGAAGCGCAGACCGCCATCGCCATGTTCAACGGCGCCCAGATCAACGGCCAGGCTATTGTCGTTGACCCGTGGACAAGGAAGGCGAAGTGAGCCGCCCCTATCTTTCTTCCTGCCCATCCCCACACCACTGCCTATTCCTTTTTGCTGGTGCTCCTCCGCAGCGTGCCGGTGATCGCGCTGGAAGCCAGGTAAACTATCACATCACGGGGAGCCGGGCCCCCTGCGCAGGGGGCGGCCCCCCTCTTCAAAGCTCCCCCCCTCCGTCATCCTTCTTAGTCCGGGGGGGGGGGGGGGGCTCGACCCTCTTCGAAGCGCTTCCGGGCCGAGCCCGCTGCTGGGCCGCAAGTCGGCCCCCAGGGCGACGAGGCAGGCGCCCTGGCGGCCCCAGACGCCCTCGAGCCTCCCCGAAGACAGCCTCCAGGGGTCTCCGACGGCCCAGGAAGCTCTCCAGGCGGCCCACGAGGCCTCCAGGGACGGCCCACGGAGGCTCCAAGAGGACCCCGACGACGAGAGCACCAAGAGGGGAAACTTATAAAAATTGTCTTTTGTGAGTTTTTGGAGGATTTGGGCGGTTTTACCGCTTCGGGCTTCCAACGCTCCTCGACGGCTCAAGAGGCGCCCAAGACCAGTCTGAACAACCGGCCCAAGAGGGGTCCAAGAAAGCCGCAAGACGGCGCCAGAGACCTCCGGGGGGTCCCGAGATGACTCCAGAGGGCCCCAGGACGGCCCAAGGAGCCCTCCAAGACGGGCCCCAGAGCGGTCCAAGAGGACCCAAAGAGGGTGAGCACGAACCCACAATTCCAGCCTTCCGCCCCCCCAGGAACCAGGAGGCCCACAGAGGCCCCGACGAGGCGCCTCGAGGTTCCCAAGATCCTCCCCAAGAGGCCCCAAGAGGCCCCTAAGAGGCCCGAGAGAAGCCCCAAGAAGCCCCAAAACGGCCCCCAAGAGGCTTCACAGCCGCCCTCGACGAGGTTCTCGAAAGGCTTCCCACGAGGTACCAGCGAACACCCGAGAGGCCTCTGACATACGTATATTGTATATGATGCATGTGCACACCTATGTACACATGCATGCACATGTCTGTATGTATGCATGTATGCATGCATGAATGTATGCGTGTGTGTGCATATATGCATGCATGTATGCATGCATGCATGCATGCATGTAGGTATGCATATATGTATGAAGGTGTGTATATATGTACGTATGTATGTACGTACGTATGCCTGTATGCATGCATGTATGTACGTGTATGTACGTATGGATACATGCATGCATGTATGTATGTGTGTTTATGTGTGTGTACATGTATGTCGCCAAACAGACATATACGTGTGCATGTACGCATGTATGCATGCAGGCATGCATGTATTTGTGTATGTATGCATGCATGCATGTGTGCATGGGTGTGTATGTATGGTTGTATGCGTGCATGTACGCATACATATATATATATATATATATATATATATATATATATATGTATGCATGTATGTATGTATGCATGCATGCATGCATGCAGTCGGTATGCATGCATACATGCATGTACACGTGTAGGCATGCATACATGCATGCATGCATGTAGGCAGGTAGGTATGCATGTATGCATGTATGCATGTATGCATGTATGTATGTATGCATGCATTTATGTATGTATGTTTGTACCTCATGTCGGCAATCATGCATGCATGTATGCATGCCTGTATGTATGTATGTAGGTAGGTATGCATGTATGTATGCAAGTGAGTAAGTACGCATGCATGTACGTCTGTGTATATGCATGTGCGTATACACGTTTGTATGTATGGATGCATGCATGCATATGTGCATGAATGTATGTATGTATGTACGTATGTATGCATGTGCGAGTGTGTATATATATATATATATATATATATATATACATATGTATGTGTATATATATACTCATACATACACACACACGGAAGATCCCGGCCCCGGGGCACCGGAGGGGGGCCTCGCTTGTACAGAGCGGCCCCCCGCCTTCCCCGGGGGCTCCCTGGCCGTCCCTCGCAGTTCCGAGATGGCCCCAGGGCGTCCCACGATCGGCCGAGGCGGCCTCCAGACTCCAGACGGCCCAGGACGCCTCCAGCTGGCGTCCGGAGGGCCCCAAGAGCGTTCCGAGACGGCCCGAAACGGTCTCAAGACGGCCAAGACGCCGCCAAGACGCCCCAAGAGGTCCCCCGAAAGGGAGCGGGCTTTCAAGGTTGAACGCATGCAGTGGTCCTGAATAGGTCCATATTGGAGCCATCTTGAAGCCCGGGAAGCACGCCGAGAGCGTATCGGTGAGAAGGCCAACATCTATTGTTTCCCTACAGTGTTAAATATTCTGGCGTCATGGGCGCTTCCTGGGGATCTCTTGAGGACCTTTCGGGCCCTTGATTCGGAGCTTTCGAGCCTCTCTTCTGGCCGTCTTGGATGCCATCGGGAAAATGATCGTGGATGAAACGGGGATCCAGGCAGGAGGGGCATCGACCATCGAGGCCAATAATATCACCGAAGGCGCATGCGGAGGAGAAGGAGGATGAGGAGGAGGAGTCAGAGCGAGGAAGGTAAGGAAAGAGACGAGGAGGGGTAGGAACTGGAGCAGTAGGAATCAGGACCAGTGGCGATTAGCTAGATCTTGAACCCGCGCGAAGCGCGCGCGACGGTTCCGATGCACCAAGATTCGGCTCAAGCGACGTGCGTGCAATGTGGAGCCAGACTCGGGCACCCTAGTTCTCCTCTGATCTCTTTCAGCCCCAGACGACGCGTCGCAGAAGCCCTCAAAGACCCCCTTTCAGGAATTTTCGGTTATCATATCAAATTGCGGCAGGTCCCACGACAAACCTTGAGGGAACTCCCGAGTCAACTTGGCAGTACCCAGCGGCATATGCGATGAAAGATCCTCGAGCGCGTGTACCCTTTTAACCTAACAGCGAAACAGCGAAGACTGATAGGTTTCTAGTGGTCTCAAAAGAGAGCATCCTGATTCCCCAGGGGGGTCTGGGCAGATGCCAGACGGGTGCCCCGGGAATCCGGGGACTCCTTTCTGAGCCAACAGTAACGCTTTTCGTGGTCTTCGAGTTCCCAGAACTCCATTCCTGGGCATGATTTTGAATGCCCGGAGCCAACTGTAGGCCACTTCGTGGTCTTCGAGTTCCTAGAACTCCATTCCTGGGCATGATTTTGAATGCCCGGAGCCAACTGTAGGCCACTTCGTGGTCTTCGAGTTCCCAGAACTCCATTCCTGGGCATGATTTTGAATGCCTGGAGCCAACTTTAGGCCACTTCGTGTTCTTCGAGTTCCCAGAACTCCATTCCCGGGCCACATTTTGAATGCTGAGGCAGGCTGATGCTGAGGCTGAGGCAGGCTGAGGCTGAGGCAGGCTGAGGCTGAGGCCGAGGCTGAAGGCAGACTGAGGCTGAGGCTGAAGCAGGCTGAGGCTGAGGCTGAGGCAGGCTGAGGCTGAGGCTGAGGCAGGCTGATGCTGAGGCAGGCTGAGGCTGAGGCTGAGGCTGATGCAGGCTGAGGCTGAGGCAGGCTGAGGCTGAGGCCGAGGCTGAAGGCAGACTGAGGCTGAGGCTGAAGCAGGCTGAGGCTGAGGCTGAGGCAGGCTGAGGCTGAGGCAGGCTGAGGCTGAGGCTGGCTGAGGCTGAGGCCGAGGATGCAGGCTGAGGCTGCAGGCTGAGGCTGAGGCCGAGGCTGAATGAGGCTGAGGCTGAGGCTGAGGCTGAGGCTGAGGCTGAGGCTGAGATGCTGAGGCAGGCTGAGGCTGAGGCTGAGGCTGATGCAGGCTGAGGCTGAGCAGCTGAGGCTGAGACCGAGGCTGAAGGCAGACTGAGGCTGAGGCTGAAGGCTGAGGCTGAGGCTGAGCTGAGGCTGAGGCAGGCTGAGGCTGAGGCTGAGGCTGAGGCTGAGGCAGGCTGAGGCTGAGGCTGAGGCAGGCTCAGGCTGAGGCAGGCTGAGGCTGAGGCCGAGGCTGAAGGCAGACTGAGGCTGAGGCTGAAGCAGGCTGAGGCTGAGGCTGAGGCAGGCTGAGGCTGAGGCTGAGGCTGAGGCTGATGCTGAGGCAGGCTGATGCTGAGGCAGGCTGATGCTGAGGCTGAGGCTGATGCAGGCTGAGGCTGAGGCAGGCTGAGGCTGAGGCCGAGGCCGACGGCAGACTGAGGCTGAGCCTGAAGCAGGCTGAGGCAGAGGCAGAGGCAGGCTGAGGCTGAGGCTGAGGCAGGCTGATGCTGAGGCAGGCTGAGGCTGAGGCTGAGGCTGATGCAGGGAGAGGCTGAGGCAGGCTGAGGCTGAGGCTGAGGCTGAAGGCAGACTGATGCTGAGGCTGAAGCAGGCTGAGGCTGAGGCTGAGGCAGGCTCAGGCTGTGGCAGGCTGAGGCTGAGGCTGAGGCAGGCTGAGGCAGGCTGAGGCTGAGGCAGTGACTGCGACTGCCGTTGCCACTGCGACTGTCATCGCGAATGCGACTACGACTGCGAGAACAACGGAATTCTACAACTGGATTCTCATCTGAATCTTAAGGGGAATGCTTCCAGATATGCTCCTACACATCGCTGTTAGGTTGCTTTGCCGGGATAATTTAGTCCCGGGGGGGGGGGCGACCCATTTCGGGGCGCTTCGGGGCCGGGCCCGCTGTTGGGGGGCCGCAAATCGCCCCCCCCCCCCCCCCCCCCCCCAGAGCGATCAGACAGCCGTCCCGGCGCCAAGACGGCCCCGAGCGGCCTCTTGGGGGCCTCTTGGGTACGTCTTGGGGGGTCTTTGGGGCCTCTTGGGGAGCCTTGGGGGAGCCTTTGGGGGGTTTGGGGGGCCATCTTGGGGCGGAAGGCTCGCAATGTCCGTTCGTTTTCCCCCTCTTGGGCCCCTCTTGGGTGCCTCTTGGGCCGTCTTTGGGGTTTCTTGGGCCGATTTGGGGTCCGCTTGGGGCCTCTTGGGGTCCTCCTGGCGCTCTTAGGCCGTCTAGGAGCGTTAACAGCTGAACAAGGCGAGAAGACTAGCATCAGTCAACAATCTTAAGAAACCAATGATTTTGCCCTCGTAGGGCCCTCTTGGGGGTGCTCCTGGGGCCCCTTTGGAGCTTATTAGTGGCTTCTTTGGTCGTCTATCTTGAGGATCTGGGGGCGATCTTGAGGCCACTCGATGCTCTTTCGGGCAGTCTTCGCGGCCTCCTCGGTCCCTCTAGGCCCGTTTTGGGACCTTTCTGATTTCAGAAGACGCGCGCCACACACCCTGGGAGCTCCTGGGCGCTCCCGAAGATTCCCAGGAGCGCCCGGAAAACGGGGTTCCGAGGCTTTTAAGAGTATGCATATAGCGGGGGACCGGGTCCGGGGGCTGGGGGCCACGACCACGACCACAAATGTGGGGCCAGGGCGTAGTTTTCCCTGTGGAGGCCCACTAAGCAAAAATCGTCGATTTCCAATGGGAGAGCTGTTATTTTTGGCGTGTTCGCCTTTAGGGCTTCCACTGCGTCCAAGACGGCCCAAGAGGCACCCAAGACGGTCGAGGATGCCCTCAAGAGGGCCCCAAGACGGCCCACGAGGGGGCCAAGACGGCCCACGAGGCGCCCAAACCGCCCAAGAACGGCCCAAGGCGGCGCCCAAGACGGGGACGAGGAATCGGAAATTCACGCCTTTTGGCCCAAGAGACCCCCAGGAGACCCCGAGAGGCTCCAAGAAGGGGCCCAGAAGCCCGAGACCCGAAAAAACACCACAAGCGGCTTCGAAGACGCCCCAAGAGGCACCCCAATAGAGCCCCAAATAAGCAAATATCTTCGATTTCTTATAGGAAAACTGATATTTTGGGCGTGTTCGCCTTTCGGGCGTCCACTGCGTCCAAGACGGCCCAAGAGGCACCCAAGACGGTCGAGGATGCCCCCAAGAGGGCCCCAAGACGGCCCACGAGGGGGCCAAGACGGCCCACGAGGCGCCCAAACCGCCCAAGAACGGCCCAAGGCGGCGCCCAAGACGGGGACGAGGCGCCCAAGAAGCCTCGAGTGGCCCCCAAGAGGTGCACAAGCATATTCAAATTCCAAGCTTTCGGCCCCAGAGGCTTTCTCAGGGCTATCCGCAACGCTCTGAGAAGGGCTGAGGCGCCCGAGACATCCTCCTGAGCCGCCAGATCTCAGAGGAGGAGGAGGAGGAGGAGGAGGAGGAGGAGGAGGAGGAGGAGGAGCTCGATTTGTCCTCACTCGACTTTGACCTCATCCTGGCTTCGTCTTAGGGGGGAGGGACGGGGGGAGGGAGGCAGGGGGCGGGAGGAGCGGACAGCGTCTCCGCCCCGCCGTCGCCGTGGCCCGCTCAGCTTCTGCCGCCGGGGGGCCCCAGTGGATGGCCCGCGCCGCCGTGCGCGCCGCCGCTGCGTCGCTGCGGCGCGGGGCGGCCCCGCGGAGCAGAAGGCTGGGCGCGGCGGGCGCGCTGGCGGCGATGGCGGTCGAAGGGCAGCGGGCCTTATCGGGGGCCCGGAGGCTGGCACCGGCATCATCCGAGCAGCAAAGAGCTGGACACACGCAAGTCGGCGGCGAGCGAGGCGGGGAAGTGAGAAGGAGAAGTCCCTCTCAGAAGGCGGCGGGGGCTTTTCAGGAGCCCTCTGGCCTTCTGAGAAGCTTTTTGCATCTTCGGAGAAGTCTCGGACAACTTCTCAGAAGGCCGGGGAACTTCCAAGCCTTCTGAGAAGGCCCGCCCCTTCGCGCTTCCCCCCTGGGCGCGCCGCCTGGTGAGCCTTCAGAGGTCCGAGCAGACTTCCTGGGTCAGCTCTGGCGCCCCACTATCCCCCTGGCAGCGCCCCCGGCGCCGCCCCTGGCGCGCTTCTTGCGCCAGGGGAAGGGGGAGTCCATCGCCGACTCAAGACATCTCCCAGGAAGTGTCTTGGCTGCCTGCGGCAAGTCCCGTGACCGTTCTGGCCCAGCTCTCTCGGTGGCAGCTGCTTGCGCGAGGGAGACGGGAGGCCCTGACGTGTGACACCTCGAGCGGCGATAGAGAGGCATTCCCTGCGGCGACGCTTGGAGAACCCAAAATCATTGGGAAACCGCTGGGCATCATTCAATTTTGGTTCTCGGGGCCGTCTCGGGGGCCTCTTGGGGCTCTCTTAGGGCCTCCAAGGGGCCTCTTTGGGCGGAAGGCTCGAATTGTCGATTCGTGTTCCCCCTCTTGGGCCCTTCTTGGGTCTGTCTTGGGGCCTTCTGGAGCCGTCTTGGGGCCCTCTTGGGGGCCTCTTTGGTTGTCTTCGGGTTTTCATGGGGGCCTTTTGGGCCGTCTTGGGGCGTCGCAGGCTCAACAAGGCGAGAACACCAAATACGTAGCACCCCGCAATTGCGGATAAGAGTGAGGGGGCGGGCGCGGGCGGCGCGGGCGTCGTCGAGCCGGCGGACCTCGTGGCCCCCATCTTCCCTGTCGATGACGCTCTCCTCCTCTTCCTCCTCCTCCTCCTCCTCCTCCTCCTTCTCTTCCTCGTCCTCGTTCTCGTCCTCATCGTCATCGTCATCCTCCTCCGCCTCGTCCTCCTCCTCTTCTTCCTCGTCCTTCCTCTCCCCCCCTCGTCCTTCCATCATCGTCCTCCCATTGTCGTCCTCCCCCTCATCGGCCTCCACCATCGTCCTCCCATTGTCGCCCATCATCATCACCCGCATCAACATCATCATCATCATCATCATCATCATCATCATCATCATCATCATCATCATCATCATCATCATCATCATCATCATCATCATCATCATCATCATCATCATCATCATCATCATCCCCCTCCTCCCCCCCCCTCCCTCCTCCTCCTCCTCCCCCTCCTCCCCCTCCTCCCCCTCCTCGTCCACCTGCTCCTCTTTTTCCACATTCTCCTTACATCCTCTCTTCTTCCGAGTCCGCCTCGTCCCCTGTTTACTCCTTCTGCCTCCCCCTCCTTTCCCAAGATAGCGGCAACGCAATCCTTTTTTCCACTTTATGCCACCCGACTTTTCTGATCAAGGCAACTGGCCAGGGCAAAGTTGCTGGACGGGCTGGTGTGGATGCGCGGGGCTTGAAGAGGTCGGTGCGGGCTCAGACGGCATGCAATAATCCGCCGCCGCGCTTGTGCGGCATTGGTTTGTTCAGTGAGCTTGGTTTAGGTCGCGGGTGGGTCGCGGGCTCTCCACCTCCACCTGGGAGGAATGCAAAAGCAGCCCGCCGCAGGCGCCGAAACACATTGTTTGTATGGCCGCCGCAGGCGCCGAAACAATTGGTTTGTACCCTGAACGTGGTCGCGGGTGGGCCGCGGGTTCTCCACTTGAAACGAATGCAAAAGATGCCCGCCGCAGGCGCCGAAAAATGTGATTTGTATCCTGAACGCGGTTTGGGTCGCGGGTTAGTCGCGAGTTGGTCGCGGGGTGGGTCGCGGGCTCTCCACTTGAAAGGATGCAAGAAAAAACCAGCCGCAGGCGCCGAACATTGTGGTTTGTACCTTGAACGTGGTTTGGGTCGAAGGTGGGTCGCGGGTGGGTCGCGAGGTGGGTCGCGGGTGGGTCGCGGGTGGGTCGCGGGTGGGTCGCGGGTGGGTCGGGGTGGGTCGCGGGGTGGGCCGCGGGCGGGTCGCGGGGTGGGTCGCGGGTGGGTCGCGGGTGGGTCGCGGGGTGGGGCGTGGGGTGGATCGCGGGGTGGGTCGCGGGTGGGTCGCGGGTGGGTCGCGGGGTGGTCGCGGGGTGGGTCGCGGGGTGGGTCGCGGGGTGGGTCGCGGCGTGGGTCGCGGGTGGGTCGCGGGTGGGTCGCGGGTGGGTCGCGGGGTGGGTCGCGGGGTGGGTCGCGGGTGGGTCGCGGGGCAGGTGGCGGGTGGGACGACGATGACAAACAACAACAAACAACAACGATAATCCGCATCGCGGAGTCCCGCTTCAGCCACGCACCCAGGGACAGTGAATGTCCGTTCGGCCCCCTCACTCTGACATAGAACAACCTAAGGACAATCATTGTTTTTTCCTCGCAAGGCCCTGTGGGGAAGGCTCTTTGGGCTCCCTTGGGACGTCTCTGAGGCCTGGTGGGCCGTCTTGAGGCCATTGTGGGTCGTGTTGATGCCGAAGTGGGCCGTCTTGGAGCCATAGGCCGTTTTGGAGAGGCATCGTGGCCTCTGGAACGCGAGTCTGTAGTGTTTTGTGATGTGTTTTGGCCTTTGGAACGCGGATCATTTGTTCCCAACCATTGGTCTTGGATCCTCCTTTTGGAGGGACAGCGCCCCGCGTCACTCGTCCTCCTCCTCCTCCTCCTCCTCCTCGTTTTCCTCGTCGCCCTCCTCCCTTCTCCATTGATCGCTGGCACACCCCTCACATGTTTCGTGGCCCCATAAGGGCTCCATCTAAAGCCTCCGTGGCGCAGTTCGCATGTGGGCGTCAACCACGTTTCGGCACGCCCCTCACGCCCTTCACACGTTTCGTGGCCCCATAAGGGAGCTCCACCGAGTGCCTCTGCGGCGCAGTTCGCATGTGGGCGTCGCGCCCGCGTCGGCACAACCTTCACGTGTCCGTGGCGGAGTTCTCATGCGGTTCCCCACTAGTTCCGGCACGCCATTTACACGTTTCGTTGCCCCATCGGGGGCTCCACCGAGTGTCTCTGCGGTGCAGTTCGCATGTGGGCGTCGCGCCTGTTCGGCACACCCCTCACACGTTTCGTGGCCTCATAGGGATCTCCACCGAGTGCCATTGTGGCGCAATTCGCATGTGGGCGTCACGCCGGTTCCGGCACACCCCTCACACGTGTCGTGGCCCCTTAGGAGGCTCCGCAGAGAGCCTCCGTGGCGCAGTTCGCCTGTGGGCGTCACGCCTGCTCGGCACACCCCTCACACGTTTCGTGGCCCCATAGGGAGCTCCAGTTCGCATGTGGGCGTCATGCCCGCTTTAGCACACTCACACGTTTCGTGGACCCATAGGGAGCTCCACCGAGTGCCTCCGTAGCGCAGTTCGCACACCGTTCCTCACCCATTTCGGAACACCCTTCACAATTCGCGGCCCGATAAGAAGTTCCACCGAAAGCGATGGCCACAACGCGGTACTCACAACTGCAAATGGTGGGGTCTTTCGTGCGGATTGCATGTAGGGAGGAAGGGGGGAGGCGGGGGGGGGCGAGTTCCACATGCCCAGCGCTAGTAGAGGGGAGCCGATCCTAGACGACTGCAGAAAGAACACCAGACAGCACTTGGCATTCTAGCATCCAGCACTCCCCCACGTGCCAGGGGGCACGGTGGCGGGTGTCCATGCGCTTGCCTGCGCTTATATGGAGGTCAGCATCGATAGCCATCTTCACCGAGGGAATCGGCGCTCCCGATCTCGTTGTTGCTGGCAGTATTGAGGCCTCTCGGTTGCCTAAATGTTGCTACGGGCGCAAGAACCTTCGGTTTCCCTCGGTGGAAGCGGCCGCCGATGCTCGGCGGTGCGATCGGGGGGGGGAAGTGAGACGGGGCGGGCCTTCGCAGAAGGCTCGGACGTCGCCCGGCCTACTGAGATGTTTCCCCGAGCCTTCCCCGACGACGCAGACAACCCGTCAGGAGGCGCGAGGGCTTCCGAGATGTCCCGCCGCCTTCTGTGTGGGCCTTCTCCTCCTTCACTTCCCCCCCTCGCTCACCGCCGAGATTCAGGAGGGAACAAAACCCGGACACAATGAATCGTCGATTCTCAGGAAAATATGCAAACATATGGGATGTGGGGGGGGGAAGACGAACGAAACTCTCCAAAAAGTGTGATAATATGGGGAATCCTGTTATTTGTGTGCATTTATTTGTGTGTCCCAGGGCCCCTTCAGAGATGCCGGTGCCGGTGCTGGCTTCCGGAGCCGGCCTCCGGCCTGCGGCCGCGGAGCCGCGGCGGCGCCCCTGGCGGCCCGCTTCGACGCGTCGAGGGCGCTGCCCGACTCCGGCAAGGTTCGACAAGGCGTAAGAGTGACCTTTCTTACCCAGACCCCCTCGAGTCATGAAAAAATCACGACGGGAGGTTTTTCATTATTTTTGGACTCTGGGGGCCCTTACCGGCCCTCGGGACCGTCAAAAAACGACTCAGGACGAAAAACCGGTCCTGGGGAATGGGTCCAGACCTCTGGGGGTCGACGTCATGAAAAAATCATCACGTCGGGGGTCTGGGTAACGGGCGCAGAACGGTAGAAAATAAACTTTTTCGCTGTCGGGGGCGCCTGTCCCTGGGCGGCTGGAAAGTTTACACCCCTACGGTGGCACCGTAGGGGTATACGCTTTCCAGCCGCCCAGGGACAGGCGCCCCCGACAGCGAAAAAGTTTATGTTATACCGTTCTTCGCTCGCTGATTTTCGCCGGAGTGACTTTTGGTGCGGGCATAAATTGGTCCCCAGATCGCCGAGTGCGATGCAGTAGCGGCGTCTGGCGCGGTTGTGCTTGGTCCCCCAGCGGCCCCCCAGGAGCCGCGCACCAAAGGTCACTCTTACCCAGGGTCACTCTTGCGTGTAGCCGACAGGTGGTGGGGACGCACTCGGGAGGCTTCCAGGCGGACGAGGCTCGGGGCTCGAAGAAGGGCCGAGCGACAGGGGGGGGATAGGGGAGAGGGGGGATACGACAAATCTGCTGCATGCAGCTGGTTTCGGCCCCGCCGCCGGGCCCATTCCTGGATACATGGGCGCATCCCGGCGCCGGGAAAATCAGATACGTGAGCTGAGAAGGAAAGCCGGTCATGAGCACGTCGGCACGAAGGAAATGGGTACGGAAAGAGTGGGTACACTGCCCAGCAGCAGTTCCTGTTCATTTTGAACAGGACTCGCTGTTGGTGTCGCCGCGGCCTGTGTGCATTTCAGACAGAAGGCCGCCTGCCCAACAGCGGCCGCTGTTGGTTTGGGACAACATTTGCTTTTGGGCATTGTACCCATTCTTTCCGTACCCATTTCGGGCGTCCAAAGCATACGTTTGTGGCGCTCCGCGCGGATCTCTTGGATCCGCGCTGGCCCCCCCCTGGCATCGCCTCCGGCGCCGCCCCTGGCGCGCTCCGCGCGCCATGGATGGGGGCCCAGCGCAGATCCAAGAAATCCGCGCGGAACGCCAAATGTTTATGCCTATGCGCTCTCTCTTCTTCCAGGGACGATCGAAATGGGTGCGGTCGGACCGAGGTTTAGGATCGCGGTCGGTTCGGGGAGAGTGCCCTGTTGTTCTTCGTGCTCGTTGGACTTACGTGGGCATCCTGGAGGGGGAACTCTCGAGTGTTTGTCAGTTTGGTTGGCAGAGGGTCTTGTGTTCTTGCAGGATGCTCTTCTGTCCTAGGTCCAGCCATACAAAGACCGACCGCAGTCCGCGTTCGTTTTGAGCAGAGCTCGCTGTCGGTGTCGACGCGGGCGTGGAGCATGCGAGACAGAAGGCCGCCTGCCCAACGGCGGCCGGTGCCGGTTTTGGACAACACTTGATGCTGGGCATCGTGCCCAGTTCTTCTTCCGTGCCCTTGTCGGGCGTCCAGAGGCCCTCGGCTGCTGGCTGCTCCACCAGGTGCCAGAGTACGCCGGGGCAAAGATAGTGCGCTCCAGACGTGCACCCGTTGCTGCTTCGGCTCAGCCGTCTGGCCCCTGGGAGTCGCCGTGAGGCCACGGGCAAGCACGGGCGCGGAGCCGGGGGGCTGTAGGGCTGAGCGACCCTGGCCTGCTGGTCGCGACGGTGATTCTCGGGGGCCAGGTCGCTTTGCTGAAGCTCCACGGAGTGCGCACCAGAGATCCGGCGGAGCTGGACAAGTGCGACATTGTGATCGACGTCGGTGGGGTCTACGCCCTGGACAAGCTACGATTCGACCACCATCAGCGGGGCTTCTTCGAGACTGTGGACGGCGAGGTAGGCAAGGCCACCGCGCCCGAGAGCGCCACTGGCAGGTTCAAGACGAAGCTCTCCGCTTCGGGCCTCATCTACAAGCACTACGGCCGCAGCATCATCGCCCGGTTGGCTGGCTTGGACGAGGCTGACACCGAGGCGGTGTGGACCGAGGTATACGTGCAGCTGATGGAGGGTATCGACGCCATCGACAACGGCATCGAGGTGGCGGACGGACCTTTGCGGTATAAGGAGGGAACCTGCCTGTCAAGCCGCGTGGCAAGGCTGAACCCGCGCTGGAATGAAGAGCACGACCACGACGTCCAGTGCCAGCGCTTCATGCAGGCCTTCGCGCTCATCGGGGATCAAATATCAGGATAGAGAAGTGGGAGCAGATAGGCCCCTCTCAACCAAAAACGAAACGACACCATCCCTAGAATTTCTGAGACCTCACCAGTACAGGGCCATGCAGGGTGACTAGGCTTCCTCCTGTTGGATTTCTGACACCTTGCCACTACAGGGCCGGGCAGGGTGCTTGGAAGTCCAACGTCGGCGGGCACAACCAGGCTGGGTGGTGCTGCTTCGTTTGCGGCCCATCCTCCCATACCCCTGGGCGTCGGATGCTTTTCCCTGGAGTTCGGCCTCTGGGGGGCGGATCTTTGGGCCCCTGGTCGACCAAGCTTATCGGCCCGCGGCGTGGCCATCTGCCTCGGAGACGCGGTCGGGAGCCATGGGGTCCTCCGGATCCTTTCCTCCTCGTCCGGTCTTGAGGCCTCGTGAGCCTCCCGTCGGGCGCGTCTTGGGGAACGGGCCAGGACCGTGCCTGGGAGGATCTCGTGGACCGGTTCTGTACGGAGTCGTCAACGCTGCGGGAGCAAGGGGGCAGGGAGGGGCGAGGAAGCTCCGATGAGGGAGTGGGGAGGATCAAGGACGGGGGAGGGACGGGAAGGGAGGAGGAGGCGGGCGAGGGCAGCGGCGGGGGACGGTGCCTCAGACACATGGTCGCGGTCTAGCGTGAAGAGACACTCATACTATCGCTCGCCCGGACCGTGTATGGTCTCAAAAGGCCGGGGTGCGCGGCGGCGTCTGCGCCTCTCCCTGGCCTCACCTTGATTGATGCGAGGGCGTTCGAGCTGGGTGGCAGTGAGATCTGGGGCGTGAGGGCCGGGAGGGGGGGGGGGGGCGGCGAGGGAAGGACAAAGGCAGGCGGCGGCCGGGCCTCAATTGGGCGACCCGTCGGGCGCGGTGCCGATTGGCGCCACGTCCTGCGGCGGTGGGGCGGGGTGTTCCTCGTCGGGGCTGCCCGCTCCAGGAGCGACCCGTCCCCCCTGAGCGGCCCTCGCCTTCTCCCCCTCCCCGCGGCCGCCGGCTCTTCCTTCCTCCTTCCTCCTCTCCCCTCCGTTTCACATAACCTGTTACATGTCTCGCATGCACGCCTCACCATACACAATACTACTTCAGAGGCCACGGCCTCACTCACCTTGTCTCCAGCAGGCCCGGACTGCTGTCCGCACTGGTGGTCGTTCGTTCGTTCGTTCGTTCTTGCATGATGGCCAATTCGCTACAACGGTGCCCCCGTCTAGGTAGCTCCATCCGCCAGCGCAGACGACCCTTTCCCAGCCGCCGACGAAGAAAGGTCCTCGGTGGGGGGGAGGGGAGGAGCCGACAGGAGGCGAGTGGGGCGAGAGCCGCCTATGCCATTCGGGATCGCCTGGCTGCCCGGAAGGCGCGGTGTGGGCCTGACCAGGGGCCTCCCAGGACCCGTCCCTGACACGTCGATTAAGGAATTGGCCGTGCTCGGTTCGCGAGAGAGCGTCGCGGCCGTCATTTTTGCAGGTCCAGGTCCGTCGGTTTCGGTCCCAGGCCGTTTTCACTAAGGGGATCTTTACTAGAGGGAGGTTCGTCCACCGCCGAATGTGAGTAGTGTCGACGTTGGCTCTTGGTCCCAATCGCATCCGTCGTGGCAGCGGCGGTAGCAACATATCTACGCGTAGGATCTGGCTCCTTGGCAATGTTGTGAAGCTGTAGTTTCAGTGTTTGCCATCGAGGGTTTTGTGGGTGCCTTTAGTATGGCGACATTGACCTTGATTGCAAGCAGTCGTTGTGTGTACATGGCCGGTGACCTGAGCGCCATGATTCTGGTTGATGCACGCCCTTAGTCGGCGTCGTTCAACATACACCGATCCAAGTCTATATGCTGTCTACTGGGTAGCATTCACGAGCGCGGAGCGGGGTCCAGGGGAAGCGGGAGACTGCCTTTTGTCTCCAAATTGTTGGGGATGGATGCTGCATCCAGCTGCAAGTGCCTGCACGCGCGTGCTCGGACATGAGCAAGACGATGCTTTGTAGTAGCTTGTTGGGAAGGCCCTACGGTCGGTGCCGCCGACCCTGAAAGGGGACGACGACCTCGACGGCGGCGTCGGCGGCGACGACGATGCTGACGTGGGACAGAGTCCTCAGTGTTATTTCGTTGGGCCTCTTCGGAGCGCGCTTGTGGGCTTTTGGGGGGCAGTTCTGGGGCCTCTTGGGAGCATCTTGGATGGGGGCCTCTTGGAGCCGTTTCGGGGGCCTCTTGGGCCGTCTGGGAGGCCTCCAGGGCTGTTTTGGGGCCCTCGTGGGTCCTTTGGGGGCCTTCTTGGGGACCTCTTGGGGGCCTCTTGTACCGATCTTGGTGGCAACTTGGGCCGTCTTCGGGCGTGGGGAAGCCAGAAAGGCGGAACGCCGGAAGCCTTCACCACGCCGAAAGATAATTATTTCATGATGCCGTCTTGGGGGTGGCTGCCAGGAGGTCATGCGTCGCCGTGACGCTGTCTACCAGCGCTTGCCTAACGTGGAAGCTGGAACCTGCAGCCAGCAGTGAGAGGTTGTCCACCCACAGTCGTTCCGCGACAGACTGGGGTGCACTGCAGTGAGCCGTTCCATGATCAAGTTAGTGACGCATCTGGCGAAGCGCGTGGCACTGCGAAGGCCTTGGGTGGTTGTGTGGCTTGGAATGGTGCTGAGGCTGCGTCGCCTTGATCGAGCTTCCGCGGACACGTGCAGGTTTGAAGCTCGAGCCCCAACATCACGGCTGGGCAGCCGTAGCGACGCGCCCCCCCCCCCCCCCCTGATGAGGGTGCCCCATGCCACCGCATCGTAGAAGCTGAAACCATCGAAATGATCATTTCCCATTGGCCATTTGCATTCTGGTAGCTGGTTATTCACATGACGCTCGCGTGCATGCCTCGTTGAGGGCCGAGTTGCCCGCTGCTGCCGCGTCCCACGCGGGCTGTCTCTCGCGGGCCCAGTGTTGGACAATTGGCTGCCCCGCTGGGGGCCACACCCTGCAATGCCTCCGACCACCCGCGGCTGCCTGATCGTCGTCTTCGGGGCTACTCTGCCAACCACCCCAATGAGGAGCCGTGGCCATTTCTGCCATTCTTCGAACACGTGAAAACGAGATTCTTCCAGATTCCTCCGAATTGTCCCAGATTCTCTCAGATTCTCCCGAATTCTCCCAGACGCCATCAGGTTCTCGCAGATTTCTGTGGATCGCCCGACAAGCGCCCAAGCGTCAAGCGCCGGCAAGATTTTAATGAATGAGACTCTGACAACGCTGCATCTGGCAAGCTTTCCTGACCGCGCGGCGGTGATTCATCCGCCCCTAGGCCTGCACGGCTCCAGAGGGTCGCCGTGCGATTATGGATCATGGCAACACGTCTCTCCGCCTTCCCAATGCTCATGTCCTGTGACGTCCGCAACTTGTGCCACTTGGACGCACGCGGCTCGATGACATCAATCGGGCGGAGCAGCATCTGACCGTTGCTCCCGGCGAACTCGTTCCCGCCAGCCTGCTTCTGGGACGCCTTGAAGATGCTGTTGGTGCTCTCGTTCTGGGAAACCCATTGTTTGAACTTTGCAGCAGATGATGCTATCGCTCGGGATCTCGCACGTCCCGCAGTACGAACTGGTCCGCTAGCGTACAGTCCGAGCTGCTTGCAACTGATGTCGGCGAAGCTCCTCACGCCATGCTGCCCACGATGCAGCAACCTTGCACGATCCCACAATCTTCTGAACGCCGTTGAGGAAGTGCTCCGCGAGCTTGGTTCCTGGTGAAATAGAGACTCGACCTAGGCTGCGCCGTTGCTCGTCTTTCTGTGCTTGGCCAGCTTGCCGAGCATGGCACCTATACACTCCCACCAGTTCGCTACCGCATCTTGAAAGGGCGCATCGCAGAAATGGGACATGCATTTGATGAGCCGACGTCGTGGGGCCATGTTCCTCGATGGCTTGCCATCTCCGATGCGGCCGGTTGTCTGCTCGCCGTGAAGCACCTCGGCCGCAGTGATCCACGCCGAGAGAGCCCCGTTGTCAGCAAGCACGGGTTGACCTCCCACGTGGAAAGCCTGCATGTGGATCACAATCGGCAGGAGCTCATCCCGCGTAGTCTGACCTGACTCGCAGAGTGCACCCACGCTGCTTCGCACCAGCGGGTGTGCTTGACAATGGCCCTCAGCTAGAAACATCTCGCCTCCCTCGTTCGCTGTCGCCTGCCCCGCAGCCGTGACGCGCTGTCTACCAGTTGGGCTGGCCCCACTGGCCAAGCATCAGAGGTGGGCTTGACGTGCCTTCTTGGACCACTTTGGACGTGGATGCGCATGTGGCGTGGCTCTTGCGCACAAAGAAACAGTGGAACGCACGCGTACTCACCAACCGTTCGATGTAGGACCACGATTTGTTGCGCAGCATTGTGGCATTGCTGAAGCAGACCTGGGCGACATCATTGTTGCTGGCGTCAGTCGACTGATTCCCACTATCGGTTGCAACAGCCTCCTGAGACCTTGACCCAGTACCGCAGCTCTCGCCAGCCCCCGCCGACAAGCCCGTGGAAATCACAGAGGTTGAGGTAGGCGACGACGTGGTAGCAGTAGCTGAACTGCTCGAAGCCGCCGTAATGGAAGAACGATGTGCCGTAGAGAAAAGTGAGGATATAGAGCAGGCCCCCCTGCTCGATTCTCCAGCAGCGGTCCCGCCTGCTGGAGCCCTCGTAGACCATTTGGACGGTGCAGCAGTGGCGTTGGCCTTGCCGGTCGCCGCTACCGTGGCTTGCCGGGCCGCTGCCGCCGCTGCTGCTGCCGCCGCAGCCTTGGCGCCGCGGATCCTGGCGATCTCATTCCCGTGTCGCTCCTGCTTCTCACTCGGGTCGTCGTCGTCCGTCTTTGGGGCTGGCGTGCCACCGCTGTTGCTGCCCGCGCCAGCCTCGGACTCGCCGTCGCCCGCTGGGGCCGCCTTGCCCCCGAAGGTGGAGCCGTCGGGAGGGTCTCCATCTTGGACTTCCAGGCCATCACCTTCTCGCCTCGCTCGCCGATGAGGTCTTGGGCCTTTTTGAGCTCCTGCTCCGACCGCGCGGGCTCGTCCTTCTCACTCTGCTCGCACTCGTATTCGCCCTTGTGCAAGGCCTCGAAGACATGGGAGCCCCACAGTACGTCGAACGCGTTGCCCCAGTCGTGCTGCGCGGACTCGCCGCGGGCGTCGGACGCCGCCGAGGTTGCCGTGGTCAGGCTGGCCTCCATGGCCAGCCCGTGCACGGCGCTCCTCTTGGCTATCCCCGCCTCGGCCAGGTGCTGGACCGTTTCCGCCGTTCGGCAGCTGCTCCTTGGCGCGCCGCACCGCAGCTGTGGCCTCATCATGACGTTGATTCATTCAGAGCGTGAATTACCTACCCCGCTTTCGCTTCCAGGCAGAACCAAGTCATACCACGCGCCTCCGTGTCAAGCGGCCTGACCGGTACGTGCCGTAGTTTGGCATCGCTTGGCGTCTCTTGGAAGCGAGGGTGGTCAGAAGCGAGGTAGGTTGGTGTGCCCCCTATTCACTCCCTTCCAGACGTTGTCAGCGCGCCTGCGAGCTCCAGCTCCAGAAAGTGCCGAAGGCTCGGGACGCGCCGTCACCTTCGGGCGCTGGGCCTCGGCCGGCAGCGCGGCCTGGAGGTTGGGGTCAGCGGCGACCTCGAGCGTCGTCGGCAAGACGGCACCGGAGGGTGCCGCCGACCAAGCAGAACCCCTGGGCACCAGGCTCGACGCTAAGTCGATGTCCTTCTTGGCTCTGTCTCCGCCTCCCCCTCCTCCCTTGCCCTTGCCCTTGCGCAGGGTGAGCTGGACACTCCATTTGCACCAGCAGTCACGCTGCTCGATCATCGAGTTCCATTCACAACGTCCGCCTGAGGAACGCTTAGTACACAACTCAGATACTCCTCCACCTGCACCGCTCTTTGCCCATGTCTGGAGTTGAGCTGCCGTGATGCTGCCGCAGTCGGAGTGCCGCCTGCAGCCAGCGGAGGCGGGCACAGGAGATGGCCGCTCCAACCTGGCCCGCCGACGCCACGCGGGCGAGCGTGATCGCGGCCGCGCGCCCGTCCTGCGAGCGCCCGGACTGGGCTGGGGGCTGAGGTGTGCGCGGGCGGCCGAAGAACACTTCCCCGCTGCTCAGCCACCTAGCGGAAGAGGGAGGCAGGGAGGGAGGGAGGGATGATGATGAGGGGGAGGAGGAGGGGGAGGAGGAGTAGGAGTAGAAGGAGGAGGAGGAGGAAGAAGAGGAGGAGGGTGGAGGAGTTCAGGCGGAGGAAGGTGGGAGGAGAGGAGAGTAGAGGAGAGCCCAGACCTACGACGAACAGTTCTCTCGAGCCGCCCCCTCCAGGGCCAGCACCCCCCCCCTGCCAGAGCCAGCCGTGTGTCCAGAGTCCCGCTGCCCACGGCTCAGCGTCCTGGGACCCCCCCCCCGGACGCAGACCGTGGAGAACCACCGTTGGCAGGTTTTCCTCGAGACGATGTGGTCTGACAGTGCGGGGGAGAGGGAGTTGCGCCTCGTGGCGTGGAGGCCTACACGCTCTGCGGCGAGCAGTTCCTCGAGGTGCTCGACGACGTCGTGCGCGGCTGGCTGCCCGCACGCAGCAAGGTCCTCCACGCCATCAATCACATGGCGGAGGTGCCTTCTCCCCCTCCTGGTCCTCCCTCCCGCTCCTATCCCTCCTCCGTCGCCTCTTTCTCCCCCCCCTCGCCTCCCCCCCTTCTCCCGCCATCGTCGTCGTCGTCCTCCTCCTCCTCCTCCTCCTCGTCCTCCTCCTCATTCCTTCCTCACTTTCGTCGTGGTCCTCCTGGTCTGATTCGTGAAGAGTACTCGGTCCCCCTTTTTCAAATCACATCCTGATTGCAGGGTCCTTGCCACTGGTGTGACGCCCCGGCCCCCTCCTCTCCCAATCACCTCCCTCGTACCTCTCACACTCAGAATTATGCTCAGACTCCCCCCGCCCTCAGACTCACGCATTACTCAGGCTCACTCGTGCAATCGCTCACGCATCCTCAGACTCACTCACTCGCACTCAGATCCACTCGTGCTCAGACTCACCCACGCTCATATCCACGCATGCCCAGGCCCACTCATGCTCGCCATCGCCCAGATTCTCGGGACCTCTCGGGTTAGAGCTGCCCTTTTGGCCCCTCGGGCGCCCTTCCTCTCCGAGGCACCACGGCCGTCGCGGCGCGGCAGGAGCGGCGCCCGGGCCTCCCCCATGGGAGGCCGGCACGGGGCACGCACCGCGGGCCCGGTCGCGCCCAGGACTGCCGGGACCTCTCGGCTGTCGCTGTCGCGTCGCCGCGGCCAATTTGTCCATTTCGACGCAGCGGGCCGCCTGCCCGACAGCGGCCGCTGTCGAGCTTGGACAACGTTTGCTGCTGGGCATCGTGCCCAGTTTTTCCGTACCCCTTTTGGGCGTCCAGAGTTTTGAAGCTCATATTCTGTTCTTTTCAGAGCCCGAGGGCCCGTTACTCAGCGCACGGGGAACCGGAAGGAGAGTCCGCGACCTGTCCCTCCCCCCCCTCGACCAAACAATGAACGACACCACCTTACCTACGGCCCACCGGTGGCCGTAGCTCACACCACGCAAGAGCTCATGCTAGATTTCCCGGTGCACGCTGAGCCCCGTGGGGCCGTGGGTGGGGTGGCGTCGCGTGTCTTCTGGCCCACCCGAGGCGCACAGCTCGGGCGAGGTGATCCGGCTGGAGTCCGGGGGCCTGCCGTGGCGCGACCACATCTACGCCCTGGAGCGCGATGCCGGGATGCCGGGCGCCGTCAAGTTCGTGCTATCGCGCGGCGCTTCGCGGCCCGCCCGCCCGTGGTTGACGAGGCCCCCGCATAGGCCAGCATCCCACTTCCTCCTCGTCTTCCTCCTCCTCGTCCTCCGCTTTGCGTCGAGCAGTGACGAAGCGTCCGCGCTTGCCTATCAGCCCCCGCATAGGCCAGCATCCCACTTCCTGCTCGTCTTCCCCCTCCTCGTCCTCCGCTTTGCGTCGAGCAGTGACGAAGCGTCCGCGCTTGCCTATAGCCGACCAGAGGATGCTCTCAGAACCTGTTGCGGCTTCCAGATTCAAGGAAGTGTTTTCAGGACATGTTCCCGCCGAGGCCATCCGGTTTTGATACATCGGCTAGATGTTCTAGGACCACTGTCTTTGTTTGTAGAGCATTCTTCTGTTCTGAGAACATTTCTTGGTAGGCCTGTGGGAATGCCGGGACGGTCGGTCTCTGCTCATTAGCGGTCGGTCACCGATTTGGTCATTGGGTTGGGGTAGGTGGTCCCCGCTTGATCATCTCATGACGTTGCGCCTTCTGCTTGCGAAAGACTTGGAGTGTTCACTCTCGGAGGCAGGTGGCAGCGCCTCAGATCCCGAGGCGGACCCGGGCTAGACATGCCCAGACTGGCTTGTGCCAAGACCAGGTTCATGCGGCGTTTGCGCGCTGGCGACGCCAGTGAATGCGTTCAAGGTTGAATTCTGAGACGCGGAGGCACCGAGGGACACGGTAACGCCACTGGACCCGTCAGGGGCAAGAATAGGAGGGGATAGGCATAGGCGGGGAGTGCATCGACCCCCAATCGCCCGTTCATTGCCGATAGGGGCCAGATAGCCGTAGCCTGCCCAGGCACGGCGGGACTCGCTATCGGGGGCCTATCGCCGATCTATCGGCGATGCATCGCCGATTCCAGGTCGGTGTTCCCCCCCCCCATGCCAATCCTCCACTATCGTTGCCCCTCAACGCGACGGAATTCAACCTTGAACGATCGGGGCCGCGATGGATTCAAGGTTGAACGATCGATGGGGTGTCAAAAACCAGATGGGGAAAGGGTACCAATATCGCAACCCCTCCCTCGTTTTCCGCTGTTGTGACCTCCTGGGAGGCTTTGTCGCCACCGCTGGATTCGCCTCGAGATTCTGGTCAGAACGCACCCCAGGAGAGGTCCAGGGAGTCGGATGCACCTCCTGGGAGGTTAAATTCCGATTTTGCCCTGGTCCGAAATCCTGCTTAATCTGGCTTAATCCGGCTTCATCCCGCTTATTCTGCCTTAATTCCGCCTAATCCCGCTTAACCCGAGGCGCACTCCGGCGTAACAGCCCCACAATGGGGCTTAAGCTTCTTTAATCTCTCCGACGGCAACCTCCCAGTAGTTGCCTCCTAAGAGGGAGTAGCGGTATCAGTACCTTTCGGTTTCCCCCACAAGCCCTTGCGCGCCGATGCCTCAAAAACCCACCGTACCTTCCCTTGCCTTACCTCCTCCTCCAGGGTCTCGCGAGTTCTGCGGGCCATTCTCCCCGAGGCTGTCCTCCCCGTCCACGATGATGGCGATGATAATACTTTCGAAGGCGATGTCAACGTCGACGTCCATGATGCTGATGATGAGGATGAGGATGAGGATGAGGATGAGGATGAGGACGAGGATTGCGATCATGATACTGATGTTGATCATGATGATGACGACGATGATGACGATGTTTATGACACTGATGATGATGGTGATGGCGATGACGATGACGGTGACGATGGATGGTGATGACGATGATGAAGGAGAGGATGATGATAATGATAATGATGCTGATAATGATGATGATCTTGCTGGTGGTGATGATGCTGATGATGATGATGGTGATGGTGATGGTGATGGTGATGGTGATAATGCTGCTGCGTATGTGGAGGGCAATTGATGATGCTGCTTATGATGGCGATGATGATACTGCTGCTGCTGCTGCTGCTGATGATGAAATGATGCTGCTGCTTACGATGATGATGATACTGATTATGGTGATGATGACGATGCTGATGTCGATGATGCTGATGATGATGATGATGCTGATGCTGGTGCTGATGCTTTTGCTGAAGCTCATGCTGCTGTTGCTGCTGTTTCTGCTGTTGCTGATTCGGCTGCTTCTGATATGCTGATGAGGAGAAGTTTGCTGATGACGTTGGGGATGCTGCTAATGATGGCGCTGATAAGTTCGATGATGCTGATGCTGATGCTGGTGCTGATGCTGGTGATGTTGATGGTGATGGTGATCATGCTGATGGTGATGATACTGCTACTGACAGTGATGATGATGATGATGATGATGCCGATCCTGATGATGATGATGATGATGTTGATGATGATGCAGATGCTGATGATGCTGATGATGATGGTGATGGTGATGGTGATGATGATACTGCTTCATAATGTTGAGCCAGATGCGAGGACGGTAACGATGACGAGGATGTGATATGATTATCATGATACTGATTGGAATGACGACCTGGAGGATACAGTTGACGCTGATTGCCCGCGATAGGTCTTCAGACCCCCCTAAAAGTATCGCTTCGACGCCCTTATTGACGGAGTAGGGATCCTACCACGAGTGGAATATATATATATATATATATGATACCGGGGAAAAGCCCCAATCATTATCTTTCTAGGGCTTTAGGGCTATGGGGCTATAAGGCTATAGGGCTAGAAGGCTATGTGGCTATACGGCTACAGGGCTACAGGGCCATAGGGCCATAGGGCTATTGGGCTATAGGGTTATTGGGCTGTAGGGCTATAGGGCTATAGGGCTATAGGGCTATAGGGCTATGAGGCTGTAAGGCTATAAGGTTATAGGGCTATTAGGGCTGTATAGAGCTACCGGGCACCTGGGCACCCGGGCACCTGGGCACCCAAGCAACCGGGCACACGGGCACCCGGGCACCCCCGGGCACCCCCGGGCACCCCCGGGCACCCCCGGGGACCCGGCCGCCGGCCACCAAATCGGCGCCGCACTTCGTTTAACCATATGAATCCGCTAGGACCCCTAGCCTACAGAGGCAAGCTCTGATTGGGGAATGTATTGACGGAGTAGGGGTCCTACCAAGAGTGGTATGTATATATATATATAGATATATAGATATATATTCCTCTTCCTATATTTTCATAAGTCCAGGCGGGGGGCAAACCCGTCACCCCCCCCCCCAAAAACCACATTCCCGGGATCTGGGGCTTTGGGACCCTCCAGACGGGCCTCGAAGCGGCCACCAGGCCTCACATGGCGTTTTGCCAAGCCTTCCCAGTACACCTAGGGCGATCAGGGGGGTCATCGGAGACGTCCCAGAGACCCCCAAGACAGCACAAAAGCGCCCCAAGAGTGACCTACATAACCTCAAGATGGCCCAAGAGGCCTCCAGGACGGCCCCAAAGAGGCCTCCAAGAGCACTCCCAAGAAGGCCCCCCGAGGCAAACATCATTGATTTTGTTTTGTTTTTTTGTGAATTTTAGGGTTCTCCTCTTTTCGGCTTCCCGACGCTCCAAGACGGCGGTCTTCTGGGCGTCCGAAGCCGCCTGGGAGGCTCCAAAATCGCCCCACAACCACCCGAAAGGGCTTCCAGGCAGTCCAAGAGAGCCCAAAAACGGCACAACACGGGTCCAAGATGGCCCTCAGAGAGCCCCATGGCGGCCCAAGATGGCCCAAAGACACCCTCCGAAGAATTCCAAATCGTGTTTGGGTCGTTCAGGGAGACGGCGGTTGGAGGCAGGGTGGCCCGAGGAAGCCCCCGGAGGCCCCCAGAATACGCCCAGGAGGTCTCCAGAAGGCGTTAAGAAAGCCTGAAACAACTTTTGTTGGGCCCCTAGAGAGTCTCCAAGGAGGAGCCTCCGCAAACAAGAGCTGAGGAGGATGGGGAGAATGCGTAGGGCATGGCGAACATAAGGAAAAAAAAGCATGGAGGAAGGATAACGAATAACACATTCTTATAGGGGCGATGCCAGAAAAGGCAACCAGGAGTTATCGCTAAATTGTCGGCTTGACCTTCCTGCTATTCCGCCTGCATGCCAAGTTTCAAGGACCAAGGTGCATGGCGCGAAGCGCCACTGCAGTCTTGCATACATATGTATATATATATATATATATATATATATATACATATAACGGCGCACCGGGTCCGGGGGCCCGGGGCCGGGACCTCGACCACAAATGTGCACCCCGGGGGCCCCGGAGGCTCGTCGGGGCTTGCCGGAGGCCTCCCCGGTCAGACAAGACGGCCCCAGAAACGCCCAAGACGGCCCAAGAAATTTCCAAGAGGCCTCCAAGAGGGCTCCGAGATGCTGAAGATGGCCTCCAGACGTCCAAGGACGCCCCCCAAGACGCCCCAAGAAGCCTCCAACATGCGTCCCAAGAGGGCCCCTAGACGCAAAAATTGGCCCATTCCCTTCGTAAAACGTACATTTTTCACAAAGTTGCCTTTTGGGCTTTCCGACGTTACAGGACGGCCCAAGAGGCGCCCAAGACCGCCCCAAGACGGCCCAAGAAGCTCCCAAGAGTGCCCCAGGACAGCCCAAGAGGGCCCCAAGACGGCCCAAGAGGCGCCCAAGATGGCCCAAGAGGGCCCCAAGACGGGCCCAAGAGGGGGCCCAGAGGGGGACCACGAACCGCAAGCTCGAGCCTTCCGCCCCAAGAGGCCGCCAGGAGGCCCCCAGGAGGCCCCTCAAGAGGCCCCAGGAGACCCCAGACGTCCAAGGACGCCCCCAAGACGCCCCAAGAAGCCTCCAACATGCGTCCCAAGAGGGCCCCTAGACGCAAAAATTGGCCCATTCCCTTCGTAAAACGTACATTTTCAACAAAGTCGCCTTTTGGGCTTTCCGACGTTACAGGACGGCCCAAGAGGCGCCCAAGACCGCCCCAAGACGGCCCAAGAAGCTTCCAAGAGGGCCCCAGGACAGCCCAAGAGGGCCCCAAGACGGCCCAAGAGGCGCCCAAGATGGCCCAAGAGGGCCCCAAGACGGGCCCAAGAGGGGGCCCAGAGGGGGACCACGAACCGCAAGCTCGAGCCTTCCGCCCCAAGAGGCCGCCAGGAGGCCCCCAGGAGGCCCCTCAAGAGGCCCCAGGAGACCCCAGACGTCCAAGGACGCCCCCAAGAGGCCCCAAGAAGCCTCCAACATGCGGCCCAAGAGGGCCCCTAGACGCAAAAGTTGGCCCATTCCCTTCGTAAAACGTACATGTTCAACAAAGTTGTCTTTTGGGCTTTCCGACGTTACAGGACGGCCCAAGAGGCGCCCAAGACCGCCCCAAGACGGCCCAAGAAGCTTCCAAGAGGGCCCCAGGACAGCCCAAGAGGGCCCCAAGACGGCCCAAGAGGCGCCCAAGATGGCCCAAGAGGGCCCCAAGACGGGCCCAAGAGGGGGCCCAGAGGGGGACCACGAACCGCAAGCTCGAGCCTTCCGCCCCAAGAGGCCGCCAGGAGGCCCCCAGGAGGCCCCTCAAGAGGCCCCAGGAGACCCCAGACGTCCAAGGACGCCCCCAAGACGCCCCAAGAAGCCTCCAACATGCGTCCAAGAGGGCCCCAGACGCAAAAGTTGGCCCATTCCCTTCGTAAAACGTACATGTTCAACAAAGTTGTCTTTTGGGCTTTCCGACGTTACAGGACGGCCCAAGAGGCGCCCAAGACCGCCCCAAGACGGCCCAAGAAGCTTCCAAGAGGGCCCCAGGACAGCCCAAGAGGGCCCCAAGACGGCCCAAGAGGCGCCCAAGATGGCCCAAGAGGGCCCCAAGACGGGCCCAAGAGGGGGCCCAGAGGGGGACCACGAACCGCAAGCTCGAGCCTTCCGCCCCAAGAGGCCGCCAGGAGGCCCCCAGGAGGCCCCTCAAGAGGCCCCAGGAGACCCCAGACGTCCAAGGACGCCCCCAAGACGCCCCAAGAAGCCTCCAACATGCGTCCCAAGAGGGCCCCTAGACGCAAAAGTTGGCCCATTCCCTTCGTAAAACGTACATGTTCAACAAAGTTGTCTTTTGGGCTTTCCGACGTTACAGGACGGCCCAAGAGGCGCCCAAGACCGCCCCAAGACGGCCCAAGAAGCTTCCAAGAGGGCCCCAGGACAGCCCAAGAGGGCCCCAAGACGGCCCAAGAGGCGCCCAAGATGGCCCAAGAGGGCCCCAAGACGGGCCCAAGAGGGGGCCCAGAGGGGGACCACGAACCGCAAGCTCGAGCCTTCCGCCCCAAGAGGCCGCCAGGAGGCCCCCAGGAGGCCCCTCAAGAGGCCCCAGGAGACCCCAGACGTCCAAGGACGCCCCCACGACGCTTCGCGTCACCAATTTCTTGTCACAACGATTCCTGGGTCTGTGACTCGACAGAACCTAAGCGCGCGAAGCGCGCGCGTGGTTCTAGTATATATATATATATATATATATATATATATATATATACTGATTTCGCCGCGGCACCCGCCGCACAACAACGAAGACGACCACTACGACTACGATTACGATTAGCCACGATACGACTACGGCCACGGCTACGCAGGAATGCGACGAAGAGGTGTAGGAGGAGGACGAGGAGGAGGAACAGCAGGAGGAGGAGGAGGAGAAAGAGGAGGGGCAGAGTTCATTTCCCGCCGAGAGAATCAGGGGGGGAGTGCAACACTACAGACGGCCCTGGGTTATGGAGAACATGATGCTCATGATGATCATGACGATGAGACGGCCACTGAGACGGCGACTGCGACGGTGACGGCGGCTACGACGACGACAACGACGACGGCAGCGACGATAACGAAGATGACGACGGTGACGAAGTGATGTGGCTGCTGCTGCTGCTGCTTCTACTGCTGCTGCTGCTGCTGCTGCTGCTGCTGATGATGATGATGATGATGATGATGATGATGATGATGATGATGATGATGATGATGATGATGATGATGATGATAAGGAGGAGGAGGAGGAGGAGGAGGAGGATGATGATGATGATGATGGTGATGATGGTGGTGATGATGATTCCCCTAGATCTGTTAGCTCGCGTGCTCGATGTCTCTCGCATGGGCCGAGTGTGCCGAGGACAGCAGGGACTCCGTGCTGGCTCTCGGTCTCTTCGGCCGGCAGTTGCCAGACCCAGCGCAATCGCAGCCGATCGATGGCCGGCTCGAGATCCTGCCGCCTCGGCCCTTGGCCCCGGGCTGCCCCCGCAGGGGGGCTGTCGGATTTGTGGACTCGAGCGGGATGCACCGCATACAGGCCGTCACGAAGGATGCACGGCGGCACCCAAATTGGGCGTGGGCCGATATCTTCTGCTGTTGTTGTGACGGCCTTACGTCAGGAGGGAAAAAACATAGACACAATTAACCGTCGATTCATCAAAAATATAGGAAAATATGGGAAGTGGGGGGGAAGACAAACAAAAATGGGAAAATATGGGGATATGTTTTTATTTGTGTGTATTTATTTGTGCGTCCTGGGGCCCCTTCATTACAGCCGGTGCCGCCGACCCTCAAGGTGGGACCTCCCCCCGGGACCCCCGCTGGCGCCCCCCCCCCCTTACCCTTAGACCCGCGGGGACCTGGGGGGGGGGGGGGGCGGCACTCTGACCTGGGGCCAGCCCCTCCCACCACAGGCGGGGCCTCCCCCCAAAGTGGGCGAGCGTTGAGATCTCGGGACGATCGAAATGGGTACGGACAGAATGGGTACGATGCCCAACAGCAGCTCCTGTTCGTTTTGAACAGGGCTCGCTGTCCGCGCCGCCGCGGGCGTTGTCCATTGAAGACAAAAAGCCGCCCGCCCAACAGCGGCCGTTGTCGGTTTTGGACAACATTGGTTGTTGGGTATTGTACCCGTTTCTTCCGTACCATTTCGGACGTCCAGAATTTTTTCTGATGTCCCTCAAGAGCGCAGCCCGATACAGCAAGCCTGAATCTCACGAGTTCTGCCCTTGCAGCGTGGCAGAGAAGGCGAGACGCTGCAGGATAGCTTTCACAAGCATGGAGTGGGCGAACGTTGCTCGTCTTCCTCCTCTTCTTCCTTTTCTTCTTGTCTTCCGTGGCTGTAGTTTCGAATGGTGGAGGCCGTTTTCTTTCAGTCGGGAAGCTGGCATTTTAATCATCAGCGCGTTGGCTTCATGGAGAAGGAGCACTTAGTGGGCGAGCGTTGCTCCAGGTCCTTTGGCCGTGCCGACGGTCGGCTCCTTGGCATCGAAGGTTTCGCAAGGTGTGTGGACGCTGCAGCCTCCCATATCATTCGGAAACCAAGCCGCCCAGACACAACACTCTGTGGCCGACGAACCGCTTGGCATCGCTCGGACGTGTGCATTTTTTCCTCGGCGAGGACCATGGAGGAGCATCCTGGATGACTTCACGAAAAAAGCACGCACGAAATCGAAAAAGACACGAGGAATGGACGTCCGAGCGATGGCAAGACCGTTGTGGTGCATACATCGCAAGCCCATCTCAGACGCGGCGACTGCGGCGCTCGTGAAAGGCCACGGCGCCAGGAGGTGCCCGGGAGTACCTGCCTGAGCAAGCAGGAGCGCGTGCGCGCGCCGAGCTCCGGGCACCTCCTTCGGTCGGCTCCGGCTGCGCCGGGTCGCGTTGGGGACAGCAGCCACGTGAGCTGATTTCGGCGACCAGAAACGGCATAGTGACGCCAGGGTGTGGTTTGCGATCGGAGCCGTCGGGCCCTGGGGAGCACGAGACGCTGTCCTCGTGGGGCCGCCTCGGGGCGCGGCGGAGAGCTCTGTCGAGGTCCTCGCCCGCACCCCAGGGTGCCCCCAGGGCGCCAGTTGCAAACCCCACCCTCTGCAAACCACACCCCTCGGAGTCGCCGATGATTCGCCAGCTCCTCTGTCGCTGCCCCCCCTTCCGCCCCCGACGTGATCGCGGCTCCAGGGCCCTGTCGGAGCGGCCGGAGCAGGGCCGCTACGATCCGGGTCGTTGCGATTCGATGCGCCAGCCGGGGCCGTAATTCAGGAGGGAACAAAACACACAGACACAATTAATCGTCGACTCCCAGGAAAATATGGGAAAATATGGGAATTGGGCGGGAAGACAAAAACCCCGTAAATATGGACAAATATGGGGAATCATTTTATTTGTGTGTATTTATTTGTGTGTCCTTGGGCCCCTGGAGTAATGTCGATTCGATTCGATGCGATGTGATTCACAGGCATCGGCCCGAGCCAGCCACAGGCGGGCGCGGCGATCCGACGTTGACTCGGTGCGGGGCGACTCGCGGGCGACCCGTGTCCGAGCCGCTCGGATGCCGCGGTGCGGCTCCGCACAGGCCTGCCGGACCCAACCGCAAGATCCCATAGAACTCGGGGCTGGACAGAACCCCCAACAGTGACACGTCGATTGGTGAATTGTCCGTTTTCGGTTCCCGAGAGGGCGCCGTGGCCGTTATTTTCCCGGCTTGCGCCCGCCAGGTTTGGGCCTCAGGTCGTTTTCACTAAACCACGTTTTACTAAAGGGAGGTCTGTCCATCCCCGAAGAACCCCCACTCGGGGGCAACGTCAGAGGGGGATAGGCGACGCATGGGCCCCACATCGCCCGTGGATCGCCGAGTGGGGCCTGGTAGCCCACCCCGCCCAGGAACGTGCGGATTTGCTATCGAGGGCCTATAATTAGGCGATCTATCCTCGATTACCGCCGATTCCAGCTCGATCCCCCACTTGAGCCGGTCTCCCCCCTACCGCTGCCCCTCAGAGTCCACCCCTTGGTGGGCTCCCAGGAGCATGGTTGGGATCACTGCGCAGCGTGTCTTGAGGCAGGCGCTGCAATGCTGCAGCTCGGTGTGGCTACGGCGTTGTACGGGTTATCGCGCTGATCTCGAGTGACTTTTTGGGATGCCGCCCAGCGGGCAACCTTGGAGCCTTTCGACGGACTCTCGGGGGCCTCCCTCGGGGGCAACGTTTGGGCGGGATGGGCTGTCACGGGGGGTAATGCCTCGATCCCGAATGGTGCCATGATCGCCGATATGGGGGCCTCCTTCGGGGGCAACGTTTGGGCGGGTTGGGCTGTCAGGGGGGGTAATGCCTCGATCCCGAAGGGTGCCATGATCGCCGATGTGGGCCTGATAGCGCACCCCGCCCAGGAACGCGCGGATCGGCCATCGGGGGCCGGCTGCCGATCTGTCGGCGACGTATCGCCGATTCCAGCTCGACGTTCGCCCCCCCTCCCTGATCCGGTTCCCCCTCCTCCCTGGCGTGGCCCATCAGAGCCCCTCCCCGCGGTGGGCTCCCAGGAGCATGGCTGGGATCACCGCGCAGCGTTTTTGGGGGACAGGCGCTGCGATGCTGCGGCGCGGCCTGGCGCCGTGCGGGTTGTCGCGCTGCTCTCGAGTGACTCTTTTGGATGCCGCCCAGCGGGCAATCTGGGAGCCTTTTCCGCGGACTCTCGGGGGTCTCTTTCAGGGGCAACGTTTGGGTGGGATAGGCAGACACAGGAGGGGATGCCTTTATCCCAAAAGTCCATTGATCGACGACGATTCGTGCCTGATAGCCCACCCCGCCCAGGAACGTGCGGAGTCGCTATCGGGGGCCTGTTGCCAATCTGTCGGCGATGTACTGCCGAGTCCGCCTCGATGTTCCCCCCTCCCCCCCTTACCGTTCCCCCTCATCCTTAACAGGGGGGGACAGTGCGGACTCCGCGATTCCGTTCCTGGCTCCTCCCCTCCTTGAGGAGGGTACCCTCTTCACGAACAGAGTGTCGCTGCCGGAGCCCTGGAGGGGGCTGCGCGACGCCGAGCTCGTGGCGGCCTCGGGCATCGCTGGCTGCAGGCCCCCTGGGGGAGGGAAAGGCACGGGCGCAGGCATAATGACTTCGGAATCCCGTTGAGATGCCACGCGCCGGTTGCCTGCGGCAAGTCTCGCCACCGTGTCGCGACGCTTCGAGCACCGCCCATGTCGCAACATGTGGCACTTCTCGTCTCGAATCTTGGATGGGCTCTCAAGGGGGCTACCTGGGCCGTCTTGGGGCCCTGTGGGGCCGTCTTGGAGCTCCTCTGGGCCGTCTTGGTGCCTTGAGTGGCCGTCTTGGGCCCCTCTCGGTCGTCTGGGGAGTCTCGTGGGGTTGTCTGAGAAGCCGCCTGGGCCCTCTCGGGGCCGCCCAGGGCCGTCTGGAGGACTTCCTGGAGCCGATGGGACTTTTTGGGCATGTCTTTGGCTCCTCCGAGTCTCGGGGCCGTCCAGGGCCGTCTGGAGGACTTCTTGGGGCTGCCTGGGGCTCCTGTGGGCCCCCCTCTTTGGGCTCTCAGGGTGCTCTCTTTTGCCGTCTTGGGGCTGTCTTGGAGCCCCCTCGGCCGTCTGTCGGGTGGACCCCAAAGGGGGTCCAGCGACAAGGGGGTGGTGCAATAGATTTGATGCCATAGATTTGTGGGGCTGCAATACACTTTGGGCGTGCAATACATTCTGGGGGACAAATGTATTGTTGGATCTCCGCGTGCGACGCATTACTTGCAACACAGCGCCATACAGTTGTCCAGCGCAATGCATTTGTAATCTAATTGCCCCAATCTATTGTATTAACCCCTTTCAGCTGGTTCCCCTTGTGGGTCACCCAAAGTCTTGAAAGTCTCTTGGGTCTGCCTTGGGAGCCGCTGGGAGCGCTCCGCGGGCTATCCTGGGCTCGTCTTGGGGCATCATGGGGCCCTCTGAGAGCTGCGGAGCCTCTGGAGATCTTCACTGGGCTCGTTTGGTCTCTCGTTGGCTCCTTCGACGCCCTTTCGGAACCATCTTGAGCCGAGAGGCCCAAGGAAGGCGACGCGTTCAAATGGCCAATAGCCCCGAGCCCAGGCTAAGAGATCACATCCCCCTTCGCCCCTGAGGGTTGATTCTCCCCGGCCAAGACACAGTTGGTCGGGTGAGAGGGGCGGCAAGGTCGAACTTTCGTATCGCGGGTGAAAAGTACAATTCGAACATTTTTTTTTTCTTATGTTGCGTAGCAGCAGCTCTGCCAAGGCTAAGGCCAAGGCCAAGAGCAAGGACAAGTGCTTGCCCCTCAAGGGCGGCTTCAAGGAGTGCCGAGGCTGCATTGGCGATCAGTTGGAGATTGTTCGCAAGAGAGGCTTCCTGGTGAGGAGCGCCAGGAATCTGAAGAGCACGGGCCAGCTCTAGGATCTCAAGAGCACGTGCCAAGGATCTCAAGAGCATGGGCCAAGGATCTCAAAACAAGAGGAACACATCGTCGTCGATGTCGTCGTCGACTAACCGGGGCGAATCGTTTATTTTCCCTTCTGGACACCGAGTTTTCTTATCCTCAGGGAGTTCTTATCAGGGATATTTGGTCATTTCCGGAGTCCTTGACAGCCTCCCGGCTTATTTCTGTCTCGGCGGTCTCGTGGGTCTTCTTGTTGCGACTTTGGGGGCCTTCTCAAGGTTTGCTGCGTGCCGCGTGCCGCAATGTTTGACATTTTGGCGGCCGGGGTGGCCGTCCTGCGCCGTCTTGGAAGCCTTGGTGTGCCTCGGGGGGCCCCGGGAGACTTTCAGGCCATCCAAGGCAGCGCGCAGCTACGCGTGGCAAGAGGAGGGGCGGCCTTGCGAAGACATTGGGGCCGTGCCATGCAGAGCGTGGCATTGTACAGCGCCTTGACGTGCCCGGAGGCACGGACCGTGCTGCGCGGTGCCGGACACGCCGCCGTGCCTGGCCATATGCATTTTTGGCCCCAGGCTGGCGCGCCGACCCCTTGGCCTCGGCGAGGAGGGTCTATACAGCATGTCAGGGCCCGTGATGACCTTGGCCTTGCGCGGTGGGGGCGCAACGACGCGATCTGCCAAACAATACTTTCGCGATCCACTTGCGGCGCCACACGTCCAATCGAAACCGACTACCCTAGCCAACTCAATCTGCCAAGCCAACTAACCCAGCCAGCCGACAACCCGCCAGCCAAGCTACCTCCAAAACCAGCAAACCAGCCCAACCAACCACCCCACCACCCAGTTCGTCCGTCAGCCAACCAGTCCACCCAGCCACTTCGTCACCCAGCCATCCCGCCAACCCGCCCACCCCCGCCGCCTGCCCTCCATCATTGCAGAAAAGAGGGGGGGACATGTCCCGTTCCAGCGTAAACAAACAACACCTTCCTGAAACCAGGCAAGACGGCGGGGGGAGGGTCAATCGCACAGTCGCGTATGGGAGCGGGCTTCGCGCTGTTGGGCGTCCAGGGCGGTTATGAGCCTGAAGTGTGAGACTGTCGTCAATGTGTCATTCCTCGTTGCGTTTTTGCCTTTCAGCATTGGCCTCACTTTTGGGGCCCGCATAGGTCCCGCCGGGACGGCCCGGGGAAACCAAATCGCATAGCAATGCGTGGGGCCGCTCTTTGAAGCGCGCTTTTTCTGATTGCGCCTTTGCATCGACGTCTTGAGCGAGGGGGCCACCGAGGGGTCCCAGGACGCTCCAGGATGCTCTGGACGTCGCAGGGGTCCTGGGACTCTCGGAAGCCCCTGGAGGCCCAGGGGGCCCCACGAGGCTCAGGATACCCTAGGAGATCCTTGGAAGCCTCGGGCGGATTCAAAACGATGCATGGGTATCCACGAGGACTCAGGAGGCGCCAGGATGTCCCAAGACCCAAAAAGATCCCGGGAGGCCCCATGGAAGTCCTCGAGAGCCTCATGGTCTATCGCGCGGGAGGAAGAGGGGGATGATAATGACGTTGTTGTTGATGATGATAATGTTGATGCTGACTTTTATGCTGGTGATGATGATGATGGTGATGATGATGATGGTGATGATGATGGTGATGATGATGGTGATGATGATGATGATGATGATGATGATGATGATGCTGATGATTGTGATGATGGTGGTGATGCTGCTTCTGATGCTGCTGCTTGTGCTGATGCTGCTGTTGACGATGGTGACGACGAGGAGGAGGAAGAGGGCCGAAGAGAGCAGTGTCACACTTCTGTTGGCGAATGCGCCACGGGTAGGACAAGTGCTCAGCACAAACCCTGCAGCCATAATAACCGAGCTTCCACTAGGAACCTGGGCTGCGTGGTTTGGAGGGGTGGGTCCCTGGAGGGGTGAGGGGCTCCCGGTAGATATTGCTGGGGCCCCTGAACTACTCGACCCCTATCCCACCCCAGTAGAGTAAATCGGCCCCTCACTGGAGGGCACGGAGTACCGTCATCGCGAGAGCTGTGCGAGGCAGTGGCCTGGAGCTCGGTGGTCGTCCAGGACCTCCAGTTTCAGGTTCTCCCCGATGAGGGTTTCATGTTCTGTTTGTGTCCTGGGCGTGGCCGCTTGGTGACCCCACCAGCCGTAATACCCCTCGAGCTCCAGCAGCAACCCTCGCCTCGAGGGTATCCTGACCTCCCCCCTCCGTCCTAGCGTGAACATGCGAACACAGCGACGTCGTCCCTCTCTCCCGTCCCTCAGCCGAACGAACTGCCTGCGAGTGGCTGCGCACGCTTGCAGCCGCCGCCCGCTGGCCATACAGCGGCATCATTCTTCTTCAACCGCGCGCCAGGAGGGTCCGCAGCGATGGGAACATAACGTGGGGAAGAGGAGGAGGAGCAGGAAGAGGAGGAGGAGGAGGAGGAGGAGGAGAAGGAGGAGGAGGAGGAGGAGGATGATCAGGTTGGGTGGGGGAAACCCGTGGAGACCAGGTCAAGCCTGGGCGCGTTTCACGTTCAAACCTCAGGAAGGCGACCACCGCTTTTTTTGGGGGGGAGAACCCCTGGACAAACGGGAGAGCACCTCCCTCCCAGCTTTGGGTGGGAGGCCGGTGCAGGGCCCTGCACGGATGGCCCGGGCCCCGGGGCTGCAGCCGGGGCATGCGCTCCACACTTCTCACGCTGGAGGCAGCCACGCAACACCCCCTACTATGACAATTTGCGCAGTGCTTGGCATCGCTCGGACGTGTGCATTTTTCCTTCGGCGAGGGCCATCGAGGAGCATCGTTGATCATTTGGAGAAAAAGCCACGCACGAAACCGAAAAAAACACAGGAAATGGACGTCCGAGCGATGGCGAGAGTGCGGATGCAGCTGGTGACTTATCGGACCATCCGCCACGTGAGCACGGGGGCCTGCGCACGGCCCTGGCCAGGAACTCGAGGGAGCCCCACCGAGAGGGAATTCACGGGGACAGACCCGACATTGCCAAGGCAACCTGCGCTTCCTGGGCTCGTGCCCCCTCGCCCTCGGGCGTTGCTGCTGGCACGTGGGCGCGGGGCGGGCTTTCATATCCGAGTGGCCGCGGTCTTGGTGCAGGACTTGGCGACCCCAAACATTCATGGCGAGCTGGCGACACAGCGCGCTGTGGGTGTCTTAGCATCAAGCTGATGGATGGCCTGGACAATGGCCCCTGGGGCCGCCACTCTGCTGGCGGCCCGTCCCGCAAAGAAGTCGGCACACCAATTCAGGAACAGCTCGGCCCCAGAACTACCAACGCGGTCCTGGGTTTCCAGGGACGCGTGAGACTTCGTCCACATGAGAGTGACCCGACCAGGACCCCGAGCATCGATCGCATCCCAGAACAGGATCCAGAGTTCGGCCATCGAAGCCTGGCTGCTAACCTGCGCCCGCGGCTTATGCGTGGCGCGGACCAATGGTAAACTATCAGTATAGATAACGCTATTCCCAGAAGTGTGCCGAGGGACCATCAAGCAGGCGTAGTGCTCAGTACGGGGGCTACTTTGGACACCCGTCGGGATGGACCCACACATAACCGCGTCCAATCGAAATTGAACCTCATCCTGTTTAGCATCAGCAGTATCCTGTTCCAGGTCGGAATCGGCATGCGCCAACCTAGAAATAGCCCAAGCACACCGGCGAATGCGGGCGTCTTTAGCATGTGGGCCTCCTGAATTATCAAGGCCCACGTGCCACCATGCACCCGATGATCATGCAGCAAACGTCCCAATCCCCGGTCACGGACTGAGGGGCAGGATCACGGCCAGCAGTATCCCGAGAATTGGGGAGCCCACGATTCCATAACGCAGAGCTGGAGTCGGCGGCAAGAGCTTCATGTTCCAACTCGTGCGTGGTGAGCATAGCAATAGTATCGAGGTGATCGTTACTGAGGCATGCCCAACACCTGTGCTGGGCCGTCCCGACCTTGTCGGCACAGCGTGGGCACTTGCCATTAGTCCTTTAGTCTGAGTCATGGAGCCGTGCCTCTGGCCAACATGCGCCACCGAAATGGTGGATGAGGAGGAGGAGAAGGCGGAGGAGGGAGCAGGGAGCAGGCAGCAGGGAATAGGGATCAGGGAGCAGGGAGCAGGGAGCAGGGAGCAGGAGGAGGGAGGGAGAGATGGGGGAGAGAGACGGGGGTGGGGGACAGCGAATGATGATGGTGATGATGCTGATGATTATGATGACGATGACGATGACGATGACGATGATGATGATGATGATGATGATGATGATGATGATGATGACGATGATCATGAGGATGATGATGGTGATGATGATGCCGATGATGCTGATGCTGATGAACATGCTGATGATTGTGATGATGATGAGGATGATAATGAGAATGGGGATGAGGATTATGATGACGATGATAAGGATGATGATGCTGATGCTGCTAATGGTGATGCTGATGCGGATGCTGATGCTGATGTTGCTGCTGTTGATGCTTGTGAGGATGAGGATGCTGATATGATGATGACGACGATGACGACGATGCTCATGATGATGATGATGCTGATGCTGATGCCGATGATGATGCCGATGATGATGCTGAGGCTACTTACAATGATGATGATGATGCTGCTGTTGAGGCTGCTGCTGATGACGATGCTGATGGTGCTGCTTATGATGATGATGCTGAGGATGATGCTGATGCCGTTGATGATGATGCTGATATGGATGATGGTGGTTTCGGTGGTGGTGGTGATGATGCTACTGCTAATGATTATGATGATGACGACGACGATGATGATGATGATGATGATGAGGCTGCTACTGATGATGATGCTGATGACGATGCTGATGATGATAATGCTGCTGCTGATCATCATACTGCGGATGATGCTGATGCTGCTGCTGATGATGACGATGATGACGTTGACGATGATGATGCTGCTGATGATGATGACGATGACGATGCTGATGCTGTTGCTGATGCTGATGCTGACACTGGTGATGCTGCTGCTGATGATGATGCTGC